AATTCCTCAGCTATGAGGAACATGGGTATTCATTTTAGTATTCATTTTAGATATCCACTTGAATGGATATCGTGACTGGTATGTCGACGATACCCAGTGTTAGGATATTATGACATCTCTGGGGTTATGAAAGTACAAATAAAATGAAAACCTAATCTATGTCGTATTTTGTACCAATTGCGACGACACTGTGGCCCATAATTGCGAAAAACTTGGGCGCAGTTGTTAGCGGCGTAACCAGGATTTTAAGCTAGGGGGGAGGGGGCTCGGCCCCAAGACTCTTTAGAACTAATTAAAAGCTGAATTTCTTCCACCTTTTCTAGGAGATGTTGTACTTGCTTGATGTTCACTAACATATTTTTCATGTTAAGAGTAGCATTTTAAAGAAAAACAACAATATACACCAGAGTTGCAACCGGTAGAGTTTTTTCTAGACCGGTACCAGTACCGGTCTAAGCCGATCAGACCGCACCGGACCGGACCGGCATGAGTCATAGTTTTTTTTCATCGTATATGAGTCACTATTGACTTTTTTCATTTAATATCAGCCATATCTTACTCTGAATCACTATTCCAATTATTTAAGACTTCTCCTTCGTCACCAAGAAATATATTTTTGATGAATACTGATTTAATATAAACAATATATCTCATATTTTTTCTTAGAAATCGTCATTAATGTCATAAAAACTAGCTTGATATGCAAAAATAAACACTTTCATCATCTATTTTTGCAAAAAATAAGGGAAAAAAGCGAAAATAATTTTAAAAAACCTAGACCGGGCCGGTCCGAAAAAGTCGCTTGTACCGGCCGGTATATCTGGCGGTGCCGGTAAGGAATCCTAGACCGGGCCGAACCGGCCGTTTACCGTTACCGGTTGCAACTCTGACATAGACGACACCAGCAGAACAGAACTGTTCTTTTTCTTTTCTCTTTACTGTTGTTGNCCCCCCCCCCCCCCCCCCCCCCCCCCCCCCCCCCCCCCCCCCCCCCCCCCCCCCCCCCCCCCCGGAGTCCCCTCCAGCCCCCCTCGTGGTTACGCCACTAGCAGTTATGCGTAACTGGGATTTTTTCACCGTAACTACCCGTAATTGCGATTTTTTCATCGTAGTTGCGCGTAACTACGTCGCAATTTTCCGCAATTGCGGGTCACAGTGCGATCGCAGTTCCGACGTTATGAAACACATGGGATTCATATCAACAGCAAAAGAAAACTACAAGATAAATGTGACGATTTTAGATAGAAGAGATGCCTGTGCTGATGGTATTATTACACTTTATTTAATTCTACAAATCATAAATCGCATCGATTACATATAAAGCACACGCTTAAATACTCAACCATTTGAGAGAACGAAGAAGAAGGATAGAGAAAGACAAATGTACAGGACAGAAAGGTAAAGGCAATAGGTGTGATGAGAATAAATGGCACCATAAGACCAAATATTATGTATAGGTTACACTCGAACGAGAGCATTACACTCCCCGGATGGAATTTGGACGCTCTCCGCATATAACGTTACACTGACTATTTAAGTAATTTACTGATCAATCATTAATTTGTCTGCTTTCTATAATTATTTAGTTTATTGAACATAAATAATATTCGCAAAAAACAACACCAGAGTATATATGAAAATGATATTAACTTTTACGATTGATGACACCATTCATTGAGTATTTTTGTGATTAGATAGATAATCGGACAATTAAAATACAAATAAGTGAAAAAACAGAATAGCTTTAGTTCTCTCTATGTTACAATAACTGGTAATTTCACATTAGCAGATTTTCTTTCTCCATTTAATTAGATCAGCCTAAAAAACAAACGACACTAAGTTCTACTCAGATGAACCCATCATAATAAGCGTAAGAGTTTTACTTTCTAAATCTTCAATTGGTTGATTTTGAATTTCAAAATCATATAAAACTATTATTATTATAGATAGTTCTTTTGTTTACAGATTTTCCAAAACAATCCAATCAAATGTAATGATTCACTGTTAAGTTTGAATTAATCCTTCTATTTTTCTCAATTGGGTTTGCTTGAATGATGCATCAAGTTAAACACGAATTTGGCTAATAGCTAGTTTCCTGAGACACGTTAGAACTTTTTTTCTTTAATATGAAAGTTTATTGTTCCACATAGGGTTAACAGACACTGATACAGTTAAGAGAATATAAATAAAGACAAACAGCAATTTTCTCTTTTCTCTTGCTTATCTGTCGTCATCTCCTCTGGACATCTGAGATATCTAAATTAACAACGAAAAATAAAAAAGAAAGAAAAAATAATGTATATACCAGTAAAGTCGGCTGCGCTGTCACTGAATGCATTCACCATTCCTAACCTTTTAAGAACATCACTCAATTCAAATGAAGCTTCCATTTTGAATTTCGGGAGATACAAAAGAAGCTCTTCCGTTCTTGTATTTTCATCGTTCAATATTTGTTGCAATAGCTGTGGCTTTGATGATAATTTTTGTTCAACACTATTTAATGAAACATCCTTCTGTGGCAAGATCACAGTGGAAACGAATTGAACACGCGCATTATCACTCTTATATGGTAAATGAGCTATTTGCACATGTAAATCTTTATTTTCACCATACAAATATTTTTCTTTCATGAACATTAGTTTGACTTTTGAAACATTGCCACTAGCTTCATGAAAATCAGCGTTTTCATTCGTTGAATGCTCTTCAAATTGCTTTCTCCATGTGCCCTATTACGTTATTTATGCAAATAAAATCAAAACTCCCATTTAAACACTAATATTTACCTTAAAATAGATACAATTTACTATAATCAAACGTGTATCACGTTTAACATCATTTTGAGAAAGTAAATTTTGAATCAAATTATTCGTTTGATCTTCAACCCATGCGTTAATCGTTTGAACAGCAGCAGCACTATTATTTACGAAATCTTCAAGTTTAATATCAGCTTTGAACGAACCCTGAACAAGATCTAAATAATCTTGTTGAGGTTTATATGATTTCTGTGCGTAAAGTCGATTAGCTAATTTAAGCTTAACTTGTGTATCTTGATCAGCAATAGAAAAAGCGAGCTTGATAGAAGAAAATCTCTAAGAAATCAAGTAACATTTTATATTTAATGCAGCAGGTAAGAAATGAATGAAGGCAAAAATTCTCACTGTGTGGTTTGTTGATCATAAAGCTTAATTTCGGCTTGCAGGTTGGAAGTATATGACTCACATCGTGCGAATGAAATATGAGAAAAGCTGCTTCGTTATCCTAAAAGTATTAGATGATATTTATGTGAAAATATTACAAAGATATTTATCGAAATTAATACACTTGTTGTCAAAGAAAATAAAGAATGATTTTTCTGCCAACACAGAAGCAATCACAGAAGTCATATTTCTATAGTTTTGAAGTTGAAAAATTACGTGGATATTTGCGATAACTTATTTTATTAGAAAAATTTCAAGGGCTTCTACTCTGAATGAGATGAAATTCTGTAAGATTCATATTTGTTTTTATTCATTAATTTTGATGAAATCAATCATTATCCGTCATTATCAAGTGTACAGGGTGTCGCAAAAGTCACCTACCAAAAAGAAAATTGAATATCTCAGCCATTTCTTAAACAAATTCATTAAATTCTTTTTTCTTGAAAGAGAAATTTTCCAAGTTTAGTTTACATTTAAGAGCATAGGCGGCGAACCCATTAGGCTTGGGGAAGCTCATTTAATTTGAAAAAAAGTTGTAGAAAGAGACTACCTATTAGTACCAGATTCTTTTTGTTTTCAATTTCACCTCTCATCATCCTCATCCTCTGAACAACATTTGGAACCTCCCCTAAATTGAAATCGTTCCGCCGCAGTTCCCAGGTGAATAAATTCGACAATGGATCTTATAGAACCCTATGAGATCCGACTCCCTGACAGAATCCGATAGGATTTCTGCTGGACACGATCTATTGTCGGTTCCGACAGGAAAAATCATTTTTTTATTCACGATCAAATAAGTATTTTGAGTCATCAGAGCGCAAGGGTGATTCGATAGAGTTGGATTTCGTTAAAATCCAACATCGGGTCCTCTTGGATCCAATACCAAGGATCCGGCTGTAGGTTCGTGGCCACGAATCCCATAAGATTTCGTCGGCTTTATTGAAGCACATATGGTATTTGGTATATTCACAGTCTGACCCTTATCGGAATTCGATAGGATCCTACTCTCGGAATGAGTCTTCTGAGTAATTGGTCCTTATTTTTTTTTGAAGAAGACAATTAATCAACAAAACTATTTGAATATTCTAAAAATTTTTTTTCATCCAATTTTACAAAAGAAAAGACTTCATAAAAAAAATCATTTTTTAACAAGATGGTGCTCCAGCGCATTTTTCAAAAGGGATTCGTGCATGGTTAGACGAGAATTTTAATGATAAATGGATTGGTAGATGTGGGTCAATTTCTTGGGCGCCGAGGTCTCCAGATCTAACTCCTCTTGACTTCTATCTCTGAGGTTATATTAAATCAAACGTGTACAATATGCAAGTTGAAGATATTCGTGAATTGAAGAACAGAATCGAAAAAAAGTCAAAGCCATAAAAAAAACATTACAAAGTGCTTTTAATGACATTCTGAAAAGACTAAAATTTTGTATTGATGTTAATGGTAATACCTTCGAACAGTTCTTGTGAAACATTTTTATATCAAATAAAACTTAGAACATTTCTCTTTCAAACAAAAAAACATTTAATGGATTTCTTTAAGAAATAGCTGAGATATTCAATTTTCTTTTTGGTAGGTGACTTTTGCGACACCCTGCAATCACTCACATAAAGAAATGAATAATTGCAAGCAACTATGATCATAATTTCGTTTCAAAACGCACAAGCATGTGTATTGAAGAAAAACTAAGTACACAAGTAGTGTTTGATTCTTTTCCTCTATTTACATTTGTGTCACTTTACAATCATAATTTTATCTGTAGGTGGTTATATATTCAAAGAGTCGCTTGATAGACCAATACATAAATATATGTCAGGGGTACTCCATCTCTTCTCGCGCCACGAATAAAATACTTCTGTTGTGATTCGATAGTTCCTATAACACTCGATGACTTCATATTTACAAAAATATATAGCCGCACTCTCATCAGCTACAGATTATATCTCTCAATGGTCACCAAATCAAGCGTTGGCTGATGAAGAACATATTGTACCATTTCCAACATTAGCTATCTTTGATCGAAATAAACAGATTTGGTTAGTACATGTTAAAGCTTGGATTTATTTACCGATAGAAACAAAAACTTTAGCAGATTATCTTTCATCATTATCAAGTCTTTTAATTGGTAGTAAAAATGAAGAAAACATCGATGTTGTTAATTATAACAAAATAGAGAATAGAATAACTTTTCATGAAAATAAAAATGAAATAGTTAACCTACCTGAATTAAAAACTAATGTCAACATTGATAAAGATCCGGAAAATGCAACAGCTTCCACTGGTGATAATCAAGAAAACAATAAAGATGGCTATAGCGATTCATATCATGATTTGTACGAGCGAGCTTTTCGTATGTATTTTCTTGGTTTAGGTTTTTTTTTGTAAATTGAATATCTTTTATTACAATAGAACAAGAATTCGATCAACTTGACGACAGTCCAAGTCGATTAAGTTTATTTTTCGTCGGAAAATCCGGTAAAATCGTAACTAAATTAATTATTAATGGTGTTGAACATCTACTTCAACGATCAGATGAAAGCGGTTTTATAGAACACTATCTTGAACTTTCCAATGAAGAAATTCAATCACTATGTACAACAACTCATATTGATTGTCAAGATAGAAAATTTGATTATAACATAAAAGTTCATGAAACAGCAAAAAAATTCAATACAAAAAATGATGACTATAAAACATTTCAATGTACAATTTATGTTCTTGCTCCTCATGGTGTTAGTATCATATCAGATATTGATGATACAATTAAATTTACTAATGCAATTAATAAAACATTATTATTAAAACATACATTTTATGATTGTTTTGAACCGATTACAGGTATGAATGAGCTCTATCAAAAATGGCATGAACAAAAATGTCAATTTCATTATGTTAGTGCTAATCCATGGCAATTGTAAATGCTGCTCAATAAATTAAGAAAAAAAATACTATTACAGTGATTTATACTTTTAGATATCCTGCTCTTCGTTGTTTTCTGGCGAAATATAATTTTCCAATGGGAACGCTCAACCTAAGAAAGTTTGATTGGAATTTGAAATTTTTCTATACTATCGGTACACATAAGATGAAAACTATTTCAGAAATTATTAGTGCTTATCCATCGAGAAAATATATTTTTGTTGGCGATTCAGGTTTGTTTGATTTAAATAGATTTAAAAAAGAAGAAAATTTCGATAAAATTAGGTGAACTCGATCCTGAGATTTATGCAAAATTATATGCAAATTATTCGCAATCAATCGCTCATATATATATTCGTGATATTTGTCAAACATCTCCATGTTTACCAATATGTGAAGAACGATATAGAAAAGCGTTTGAGTTTGTACCAAAACATATCTGGTCAATATTTAAACATCCACAAGAAATCGATACTGATATAAACAAATTAGTTTCAATATAAATTGTAAAAAAAAAAAAACTTTTATTTTATCTTTACATAAAAAAAACAGATAGAGCTACTGTCGTCTACATGATCTATTCATGAAAACGAAAACATTCATTAGTAATAACCCATATCGATGAGTTCATATCAACAGTTAACACAAATACATGTGAGAATAGACGTTTCTCCTTGGGTACTGAATTACTTTCCGGCGAACCATATACAACAGCGCCGGAAACAAATACTTGAAATGTTTTGGCTTCGTTCGGAAATAAATCTAAAGAAAAATCAAAATCGATGAATGAATTTTGAAAATATTTTATCTGTTTTACCGTTCATTGGAAAAAAGTCAAGCGCATAAATATTATGACGTGTCGGTGGTAATGCAATAAGATATTTTGCAATTGTACTTGATCCATCTAATTCTGTTCCATTCCAAACTAATTTTGCTTGTGCTTGATAGAATTTTTCAATGTCCTGAAAGAAAAAAAGTAAGACAAGTTATTTATCTTAACAAACGAAATAAATCTTACATGTCTTCGTGTATCGAATATATCATAATACCTCTTTGAAAAATTTTCTACGGCAACAATATCTTCTCGACATTTCTTTTGCTAAATAATCGAAATTGATTAAGACACATCGAGTGGTAGATCCAAATTCCATCACTACTTTTGAAAAGTTCCAATAAAACCTCTATATCTCCGTTTCCTGAAGTCCGTTTGAGCTGATTTTTGGATTGCGGAATAGACAAAACATTTTTCTATCGAATTGTATGATTATCATCAACATACGATTTGTTTTGAGTAAGCAGCAACAAAGAAACAAACACCTGCTTTCATTTTTGTCCCGTTCTGTCCATGTTTTAATTCCATCATTGAAGTCATTATTCTTTCCCAATTACGTCATTTCGAGCAAAAATATACAAATTTTGTTAAAAAACTTAATTTTCGAGCGGAAGGTTGGTATCTTTCGGAGGACAAATTACATCATTTGATTCATCAGATCAATCTCTATCGATTGATATGTTTCTTATTACGAATAAATGCATCTTTTATATATTTTTTCTCGTAGCAATTAACTTTTTCGTGTGATGCAATTAAGTAGTGTAACTTAATTCCATTACACCAACTATTCCTCTTTCCTTATTTTATCATGTAATAGAAAGTACATGTAAAATTGTTCATCATCAGTAATAAAAACATTGCCACTAGATCAACTACATAATTTTACTAAACAATCTATACAAAAAATGTAGTTGAACTCAGTGGCTATCTGTTAATGAAAAGTCGGAGGATTTAGACCTAAAATTTATTGAGCTTTTTAAGATAGAAGAGCATGGGTTAATTTTTACCGAAATTTTGGCATGTAGCATTTTTCTATCTTTGAGTAGTAATCGCAATGACTAATTAATACGAGGCATGTAAGGTAATATTTAGTGTTCTATCTCATTATAACTGTCTAATTTTTTACGTACGAGTTGATTGCTAGATCCAACAATGATCAATGTACATGTACATGTACATTTTACGGGAGAGCGAAAATTAGTCGTCGATAATTGGTCGAAAATTTTGTAATAGAAGAACAAAAGCTTTTTTTTTTAAACAGCCCGAACTTTGTAGTGTAAAGGTGAAACTAGCATTAATTACATTATCATGTTAATATTAGAGGAAAATAGTGATTCGGACAAATAAATTAGACATGCATAATAAACGAAAATAGTTTAGAACTTAGGAAGAAGACCTTCTAATTATTTTAGTAACGTTGCCTGCTTCGAGAACACGGTGACCACCTCATCCTCACCCACACCCAAATGATGTGCATTTGAACCGAAAAAAATACGATATTTTTACCAAAAACGTTTTTTTGATGGCAATCCTATATATTTTGGCTGGAATGATGTAATTAAGACATGGACAAAAGGGGACAAAAATTAACGTAGGTGTTTGTTTCTTTGTTGTTGCTCATTCAAAACGTATCGTATCTTGATGGAAATCATACTATTCGATACAAAAATGTTTTGTCTATTTCGCAATCCAACAATTAGCTCAAACGAACTTCGGGAAGCGGAGATATTCGAGATTTTTAATCAGATTGCAATATCGTGATGGAATTTGGAACAACCACTCTACTCATATAAATTCGTTTCACACCTGATCCATTGTTGTTGCCATTGATTTATATAGAGAATATTTATCTGAAATATCAATTATGTTTATTTATAAATCAACCAAACCGATTCATATATGTATTCAGATAATTATATAAAAAAAACACAATTTTCTTTTTATCAAATTATATTGAACATCATATTGTTTTGTTTTTTCCTCATTTTTTTTCTTGTCGCTGATCGCGTTCGCCATTTTCATTACGATTGCTTCGTTTCGAACTAAAATAAATCAAGAGGTATAAATAAGACTTTATCTTAGATTAGATGATTAAATTAAGTCCATAAGAAATGAAAACAAACATGTTTCTCTACTCGATAATTAGTTGATTTTAATAGAATACTATTTCGTGTTACTTTTCTTTTGAAAAAAAACAAAACCTGATTTGCAATAATATGGAATTCGACAGTACGAAGAATTTTGTTATGCAAAAAGAGAAAGAGAAAACCCAGAATAAATTGATTGGCTCCCAATTTTTTCAGTAACTAATCCAGACAGATCTTGTCGAATAACATGTGAGAAGAACTACATGTAATATCTAAAGTTGCGCTTTTAATAATTTAACAAATCCCATAGAAAATAGACTCGTAAAACTGCAATTTTCGTTTCTCATATAAAATATGAGCCTAATTTTCTTTCACAGGTTTCAACTGCGCAGTTTTTTATTGTAAAGAAACACTTACGGCGATGCTGATTTTGATCGTGAACGACGTGAAGACCGAGAGCGAGATCTAAATAAATAAAAATTTGTTTAATAAAAAACAAAAAGAAACTAAATATTTTTGAACAAACCGTCGATGACGACTGTTACTGCGTGATCGATGTTTTGAACGTCGTGGAGATCTTGATCGTGAACGTGTTCTATGTTTAAAAATTAAAAATTAAGTTTTTTTCTTCTATTTATAATATTAACAAAAAAAAGTTGTTTGTCCAAATAATATGCAGAATTTTTACTTTGATAAAAACAAAAAATATGAGCCTAATCGACGAAACATGTGTATATATATCTTACATCTGATCTGTTAAATCAACTGGAATACAAATAACTGCAGTCTCGCTCTGCTTAGTTTGAATGAATGAAATCGAAAATGCAGCATATAAACACCGGGATAAACAAATTTTGTTTTTAATTTTCTCGAACATGTCGATTTCTAGACATTCTGGATGCAGCATATTTGTGCAGAAGAATACCTGTGTGAATAGAGATAAACAATGGTGTTTATTCCAGTCATAAGGGAAGACAAACAAATAGTGATAGGATGGGAATTTTTTTTGTTTTTTTTTTCAATGTGATTAACTATAATCTTACCGTCGGTGGCGAACTTTTTCTCGACTATCGGTAGCTGAAGCTCGACCGTAACGAGCGAATTGAACACGTATTTCGCGTCCATCAAGATCAGTTCCATCCATACGTTCGAGTGCATCTTGTGCATCGCGTTTTTTGCTAAAGCTTTACAAAATAAAATAATAAAAAGAAAGTCTTTTGTTTTTCCCTTCAATTAATAAACATACCGAACGAATGCATAGCCACGACTTGATCGAGAAAACTGATCCCTTGGAATATAGATATCCCCAATACTACCAAATTTTTCAAAGCATCGCCTTAAATCTTCGACACGTGTACGATATGTTAAATTATCAACTTTAAGTGAATACATGACATCAACTTTAGGTGATACTTCACGACGGTCATCTGTATTTCGTGATCGACTACTCATTTTTTTTTTAGCTAAATCTCAATAAATTTCTTGTATAACACCAACAACAAATAATAATACGAATATATTGAGACAACAAGAATAGATTTCAAAGAAAATAACAATGAGTAAGTGCAGCCATTTACATTTTAACTCACACAAATAGACTAGAGGTTCAATTGATATTAGAGACATCTATTGAAAAATAAATTATGTATACACTCGACGTCAATAATTTTGAATATAGTAGAATGTTTCGGGTTCGAGTCTCCAAATGAAGGGACAACATAATGAACTATTAAATCGCATGATAATAGGAATCATTCAAAGCAGAAAATAGATAAACTGCTGTCGCCAAGGAACTATTCAAGATAAAAATGACTTCTAATTTGCATTGTCTTGTACTATGGAAGAGATATGTTTTATTATAATTTCGCAATGATTTAATATTTAACGAGAAATCGAAATTTTAATATGGATTCAAATTCTGTTTTCAATTGATAGACAACAGAGTAATATTTTGAAAAGGCAAAAGACAACAGAACGATGCTTTTTAATATCTTGTATTAGATTTACTTCTTGACGAAGGAAAGGAACATTTACATAAACAATAATAATAATAATCTTCAAATATTATATTTCCAGCTAGCACTTACAATCAATTTCCGTGTGTTGTCTCGTCGATTGTCAATACGAATAAAATTTACTTTACGAGTTTATTTCGTTGAATCGTTCATTATAAGTACATAATAAATGTTTATATCCGTCTATTAATCGAAATATAGGGCACCGTATGTTTCACGCATTCTTACATAATGCAACGGCAGAGTAGCCGACTACGGCAAACAAGTTCAATTTACGTATATGAGAGGAAAAGTTAAAATGTGCATTTTCTCCAGAGTACTATATTGATAGTCACACATGACATTCTATCAGCTCCTATATTATTCAGCGTTGCCAATTCAATCCTTGAAAACAAACACATTGCACCCAACTTTGGCTTTCAATACTTGTCCAAGCAGATTTGGCGACTAATTAAAACCAAGCATAACAGCGATTTACTTGTTTGCATGTATTTTTCGAAAATCTCTCCTGTTGGTTACACTCTCTTAAATGCATGTCTATCTTCCTTCTTCCGTTTCCTGTGAGTATAGCATGCTATTTGTTTTACTGATGGCATCGTCATTCGCATATCGTGATCTCTAGAAAATTGGTTTGTTAGATCAAGGTCGAGTTAGAGAAGCAAACTGAAATGGTAAGAAGTAAATTATTTGAATAGACAGATGATAACTTATGTTAGTTATACATAGTGAGTTTGAACGATCTAGAAGCTATTAAAATAAAACTAACGATAAAAATATAACCATTCCAATTCGAACGATTTTCTACTTTCTTAAATATAATCTACCTTTTTCTTTTTCATCGGAACTGAATAAAAACTTATTGAATACGTATTGTCTTTTTAAAAATAAACATTACATTTAACCTTCATGTGTAGAACAATCTCAGATTCATATACCAATTGAATAATGAATCGAACGTAATTTATATTTTTTGTCTCTAAATAATTTGATGAAGTTTAAACTAAAATTAATAATCATATAGATATGGCAAAAAATTGAATTTGATTATTGAATTATTAGTAATATACATACAGTTCTTGCTAGATTTAAAACATAAAATTTGTTAGAATTATGTTTTCTTCAAGAATGCTTATGGACTTTAGTCTTTTTATAACTATTTTCCATTAATTATTTTGTGAATTACATCTTTTTGTCGTCGGAAGCGCTAGCATTAAAGTAAATATGTATCGAACATCAATCATTCTAACTAATAAGGTAACTGAATGAACGATATATTTGTAAGTAACTGTCAAAAGAAGCTTCATGACACAAAGACTGACTGATCTCACCACTTGAAGCTCGTATTCTGCTAGATGTACTAATTACTCTACTGTAACTGGGAGTATTAATTCTTCTAATATTTTTTTTCTGGAAGGCTTAAAACTCCAACCAGTAGGCATACATAGTAATACTTGAACCACAGTATCGGATTAACTCGATAATCGAACAAAAATGTATGTTTAGGTTAAGTTTTTTAACTTTTCTAAAGAATTCTGAATGTGATCATATGTCTTTGTTCTATCGTAAGAATCTGAGTATTTAACATATGAGTGAGAGTATTGTCCTACCGAAATATGAATATCTACGCTGCTTGTTTCAATAGTTGATTTTGGCATGCGTATCTAGATAGAACCAAAATCTTCGTTCTCCTGATAAATTAACTGTACGAATGATTTTTATTTCAATCAACATTTTAACAACTTTTAATCTTTAAACATCAATATATGATCCATAGAGTCGGGAAATTAGATATAAATATCTTGACTACTAATTTGCATATTTTTTTTAAAATATGCAACACGATATTTTCAACTGAAAGAGATGCATTATAATCACATCATTATGCATTGGCTATATGACTAATTTGAATACATGTGTAACCTTCGCATTTATATTCTCAATATGCAATCAGTTTTAAAATGGTTCACTTTTCACAATACATCAAAAATTGACATTGTAGATTTCTTGGTATCCGATTTGGAATATTATGCATAAATGTTTCTAGTAGACACTTAACTATTCACCAGGAATCATTTCAAGCTTGATAAAAATAATTTGACTTGATGCTTGAGATTTTCGTTCTATTCTTCGTAGAATGCAAGATAATAGTATCAATGATGAGTCTTTTCTTTTTAGAATAATGCCTCTGATTTAGCTGTTATTTATTATATCTTCCTTCCGATGTAAAATGTCACTAGACCGCAAATTGAACATAATGATAATCGTGCTACTTTTTTATACTGCTCATTTTCTTGTTGCCTTTACATCGTCTTTCTATTTGCTAGTTCTTAATTTTTATCTTGCAGCTAATCGTTTCTTTTACAAGGAAAGAGCTCATTTCAAAAGAAAAGTAAAAAACCATAGTTTTCAAGGTTGTGAAACGCATCTCTTTTTTTTTATACTGCTCTTCTCCGCATCGTTTAGAATCGTAGTAAATATGAAAAAAGGAGCATTAATACTTTGTTCTCCGTCGACATAGAGAATGCGGAAGTACAGTATAGTTCCTAAATGATTAGATCTATTCTAAGCGAGAAGCTCAGTTTTCTGCTTTTTACTGTTACCGAGATACAAGCGCACGGTCATAATCGAACTATTTCTCGACATACTCAAGTATTATGTTACATAAAAATGACTACACGAAAAAAAAACATAGCAATTCCAAATGTTCGATATCAGTCAAGATGATTTAAAACATTCAAATATTCTAGATAGAGAAACTTTCTTTTTTTTTGAAAAAAATGACTACAATCTGCTTTTTAGAAAAGTAATTTTTTTTATCTACTAATTGATTTAGTTAATATCAACATAAACTCGTATGTTCATCTGATTCAATTCGTCCAATTTATTGTTTGTATTCATAACGATCAGCGACAAAAATTAGATCATGCTTTTTTTTTGTATTTTTTATTTATAGTGATATTGACAAATTGCAGAACGAAAGAATTTTATGTATAAAGAAAAAGGTCACTTGCTGTAACTGCACGATGGCAAGAATGTAAATGTTACTCATCCATAATTGTTCCAACTATAAATCAAAAATGCTAATGATTTGGGTAATATTTAAATTTGTATAATGATAATATGTAGAAGATTCGAACTTTAGGATAGATTAGTTTAGATCTCGAAATCTAGTATATATAAATCTCACCTAACTCTCTTGATAGCAGACCTATTTTAAAGATCGATGCACTAGACGTGAGAGGTTATCCCAGCTAAATAAATATTTTTTTTTTGAAAAATGAGAAATTTAATAAAAATATATTCAAATTAAAAAAGGTTTCATTTACAAGGGTTTTACCGCAATATCGTAAAAGATTGAGATGGTCACTGTTACGAGAGTTTGATTGAATAGGTTAAAAATCTTTCTCACTAAAAATTTTTTCGAAATAGATCAAAAAAAGGATCGCCTGACAGCTTTCTACACCTGCTCACATTAGTAGATTCAATCGTCTATTGAGCGGACGGCAGGTTGTTCGACCTCGTCTACGCTGTGCAGATGTATAAAAAGCACACAACAAGAGATTATTAGAAATCATTTTAGATCGTTTACCGAGATGGTTCAATGCATGTGTTTTAACTTATAAGCTTTGAGCATCGTATCGATCATAAAAAATCTTCGTATCGATCGTAATCTTTTGTCAAGCTGAAGTAATATTGATCGCGTTAAATTATATAATGTGCTTTATTTTCTATTGGATCGTTTGTTTGCTCTATAAAATCGAACTTGCATCATATCACCCTCCGTGGCGTTTCGCTTGACTGATTCAAACATCCGTAGACAACATCGACGATATTCAGTCGAAAATCGTAACTATATTAGCTATATTTTTCTCTGGCATAGTCATTCTTACGTTAGTTATGCCAAGATTTTTCGATGTTCCTCGCTAGTGGAAGTTCGAAAATTTTTGTAAACTCTAATCAGATCTGATTTACATGCTCAATTTTCTTTTAAGTAGTTTGATATATCTCAAGGTAGAACGAATAATTGCGATGATAAAGAATCAATTAAGCATGTAAACAAAATTTTATTCGTAGTTTAAAATGTAAATTTAGGAAAGTTTGCAGATGAGAAATTTAACGTGTCGTCATTCTCGACGGAATCTATTGATCGGCTCGTGTTTGTTAATGGCGATAACTTTATTTATTCGCTTACAACTTTACCAACCAATACTCAATAGTTATGATGGAAGCGAAGACGAACCATTACATTGTAATCAAGCAATTATTCGAAAACATTTTATGGATGATAAAACGTATGTTAAATAGCGTAGGATTTTAATCGGTCAATAGAACTTTAAGCTATTTTTTTAGCGGCAAGCATTTCTTTCATTTGTTCCGGCTGTATAAATCGATCGAGTCTTATTTTTATTGACTTCTCGAAAAGACTGTCATTTTCATGTCATAATATATATGCATATAGCTATGTTTTGTGGATGATAAAAGTATATCTATTGCATGAAAATTAAAATGATGTACTGTGTTCGAACTGATTTATTGCCTATTAAATGATTATTTTTGTCAGAATAGATCACGAAGTGATAACTTGCGATGGGTTTCATTTTGAAATATTCTACTGACGTGAGGCCTGTCCAAAAGTTCTGTCATCATTAAATAAAAATATAAAGATAAGGAGATATGTTTAATTTAATTTTATCACATGTCCGGGATAATTGCCAATATTATCTATTCCAAGATCAATCTTGTCTAATAATTAATTAAAAGGGTTTTTGAGCACCTTTTCTGATAAAATTTTCAGTTACCCTGGATACCGCATGAGCACAGCACATTTCATTTCATTTATTAGTTAAACTTCGTGCAATAGAATTATTTAACCAAATATTATGTAGCATTAGGTATGGTTAACATGGAGGATACGAAATTATATTACTGCATTCTTCTGCCAAAATAATAAATAACATCGGATGAGTATGCAGTCAGCGATGACCATCAAGGAATTTTGTACATTTTGAACGTGACGTCTCTGTTTGTTTTCATATTATATCCTACCTTTATCTGTACTCAGGACTATTTGATTGAATGAATGTACAAAATACAGGTTTTCTTCAAATCTGTTGTATGAACAATAGTCTTCGGCAATTCATCTTCAATATGCCGGCTAGCATCAGATGATTTATAATTAACCTATCTAAAATAAATCCATATCTCATCACTAGTTAGTTCTAAACGGCAATTGACATAATTGAATAAAATTTCGCTAAATTTTAAAACAAATGAAATGTGCTGTGCTCATGCGGTATCCAAGGTAACTGAAAATTTTATCAGAAAAGATGTTCAAAAACCCTTTTAATTAATTATTAGACAAGATTGATCTTGGAATAGGTAATATTGGCAATTATCCCGGACATGTGATAAAATTAAATTAAACATATCTCCTTATCTTTATATTTTTATTTAATGGCGACAGAACTTTTGGGTAGACCTAAATAAAAACTGACAGGTAAATAGATGTATGAATAATAAATCACTATCAAGTGAATAATGATAAACAGCTATAAATGAAAAAAATCGATCCTCATAAATAATGTTCGAAAATTCTCACTATTTTTCAGCTGGGAAATTCTGAATCCGAATTCTATCAACATATACCAGCGGGGAATCTAATTTCGTGAATTACAATATCTTTTTATTTTTACTTAGTAGTATGTGTAGGCATCATAAAAATCAGTGTGAAAAATATTAATAAAGGAGTAATGTGCTCACATGATGATGTTGAAATACGGATATCATGTCCCCAGGCAGTGTTCTCACAAATTTGAAATGCTTTCACATTTCTCACCAATACTCGAAAATTCGATGAATGATATCGAAAACCTTGATATTAATAAAAGTAAAAGTTAGATAAATTGCACGTCATTATTCGACTAAATGATGATCCAATAAAAATGAAATTTACTCTTTCTCTCCTACCTACGAACAACTATTTGAAATATGTGCATATCAATCGATTGAATTTGAAATAGGGCTAACAATATGATTGGTGTCTCCACCTAGCAACACCAATCATGTTGCCCTACACCTGTTTGAGCATGGGTACGGTGTGTACAAGACATAACCTATCAATCGCCAATAACATTATCAATATCATTGTTACCTTTCATACAAGGATAAAGGCGACATATTCAATATAACGACTAAAGTAAATCGAAAATAGTTTCAGTATTTTTATCTGGTGAAACTTGGTATTTAAACAATAAAAACAAAGTTTTTTAGCAATCATAAATAAATAAATTGATAAGAAAGATTTTTTCAATATAATATATTTTTTTATTTTTAGTCCAAAAGAACTATTCGAACAAGCTCCAGTTCGTGCGGGTTTTGATTATGAAATAGCAAATGGAAATTTTTGTTCAGCTGTAAAACCACATGCTATTATATTTGTTATTTCGAAGTCAAACAATTATGATTCTCGCAATGCTATTCGTCGTACATGGGGTAATTTAGCGCCCATAAGATCTCTTCAGCAATTTTCTCATCTTGAATTGCGAATTATTTTCCTTATTGATATTGATGAAAGTCTTTTATTGAGTATCAGTCTTGAACACAAATTATTTCATGATATTGTTCAAGTTCATCTACCACAACAATACTCATTGTCAACATATCGCGATATGGCTATGCTACATTGGACTGATACATATTGTTCAGAAGCAATCCTGACAGTCAAAACCGATGACGATATTTTTCTTAATACCTATTTATTAGCAAGTTTAGTCAATGCTATTCTTAAGAATACGACCATTGATGAATCGAAACTTGAATGCAACTATTCAGATTCATCAGCTATTATCTATGGTTACGAACTTCTATATGCTAAAGTGGTACGCTATTCAAATGACCCCATTCTAGAAGGCACACGCTATATTGTAACGAAAGATGAATATCCATGTGTACACTATCCAACTTATATGAGTGGTTTTAGTTATATTGTTAATCGTCCTGCACGTTCAAAACTTCTATGTACTTTTTTTCGAGATAAAAAACCTTTACATATGTCCGATGTGTACGTAACAGGCATAATACCTGAATATATTGGCATTGAACGGAAACATTTTGGTTTAGCAATTAATTATCGATCCAGTGATGATTGTGAACATTTTTTTAAACAAAATGATGCTGATAGTTATGCATGCGCCTCATCGTTACATTACAATAAAAAACAGATTGATATATTTGAACGTTTTCACACTTATTGGCAGCATGTTGATAAAAATAGATTTTTGTATATAAATCGAAAGTTTAATCATATGCATAAAGATTTTAAAGCTTATTAAATTTATTATTTTAGATTACATAACTATGAAATTAATATGTCGTTGCCAACGCATACTTATTATTTTATTTTTGGCCTGGAGCAGTGTGTTGATTTGTTCAGCATGCCTTTACATAATTCATTTCATTTGGTGTGCAACCAAAGATATATGTACTAATCGTGTTCTATGTCCACAGCGTGAAATAGTTTTATATCCACATCTAACAAATTTTCTTAAAACTGATTATTCACTATGCAGTGTAAGAGCAACGAGACGCGGTCCACATCAGCGTGTTATTGGTGTATCAGCTTATTTATCTAAACGAGATAATAAAGAGTTATTACCAAAAGTATGGAAATATGTTATTGAATATGTAGAAGAAGCAAAAGAAAAATATCCCGATTGGACTGTACGCGTTTATCATTATTCACTCGGTATGTCAAAAACAGCAATAACATTAATTGAAGATAAATATAGTAATGTTGATTTTTGTGATTCAACAAATATTCCAACACTTGGTGATATTACAACTTGGTTACCGGGAAAAATGCATCGTTTTCTTCCTATAGCTGATTCTCTTGTCGATACGTATATGTCGCGAGATATTGATTCGCCTATACTTGAACGTGAAACAGCTGTTGTCTATGGATGGCTAGATTCGAAACATACGATTCATATTATTCGTGATCATCACGAACATAATATACCAATACTGGGAGGCCTTTGGGGTATTAAGGTCAATAAAGAACGTGCATTGATTAAAAATGTTTCTCAATATTTACTTTCACGCACTGTTGTCCAATGTTATACAGGTGCAGGTGATCAGAATTTTCTTGAAGATTATATTTGGCCACATGTAACTATGTATGACAAAATGACACTTGAATATGATAGTTTTTCATGCAAACAATTTCCGAATTCACGGCCATTTCCAATACGAAAAGAATCACCAACACTTTTTATTGGTTGTCGTCGACCGAATTGTACGAAAGATAGGCATCCAGAATGTCCGATGGAATGTCGACCTCCCAATCATCCCGAGTGGATTTGGTGTTGAAAAACAAAAGCAAGCAAGTTTAGTAATCTTTCACGAATATCTTGTCTATTACAATCATAGTAGAATATTTAATCTCTGATGCTTTAGAAGTCTAATTGATGCCTTCTTTTGCTCTCTTTCTCTTGAGCTCAATTAGAATTGTAGTTGGTAGCTTCTTAAAGTCGGCTCATAAATATGAGATTTTTTTCTCTGATTTAAATATTTAGGGTTATTTTCGGGACAAAACAAGAAACCATGCCTCTACATAATTTATTTAATAAGTCTGAATGTAGTATATTTAGTGTCGGGTATAGTCTCACTTCGATATCAAAAATTATCTAACCAAAAATTCTTTAGTATTATCATATTCATGTGCCTTTTGCCACAATTTTAAAAGCGTCTATGAGTAAAAATCAAATCAAACACAAAATATTTTGTCGAGAGAACTCAAGGAAATAAGAAAGTTAACAGGTTTGTTTGTTCAATGTGCCTTGAACTACTTTATTCATTCGAGATAAAACTAGAAAGTATGCAAATATTGTGATTCAAGAATACGTAATTCAATAAAGAAAAGTATAAAAATGTTTCTAATTAGCGCTGTAGTATAGAGAAGAAATTTTGAGTACCTTGAAGCAATCGTTTTATACTTGTTATATAATGAAATAAGTTATGAATGACTCATGATGCTCTAGCAGCTAGTCTTATTTGATTTGATAATGTGAGCTCATACCGTAAGAAGAAAACTGATATTATCTGTTATAAATCTCAATTACAAAGGTAATCTTCCGAACTGATAAGTTGTGTTTGAGTTAAACGATAGGTATCAAGAAATTCAAAACGAACTTTTAATAAGATGAAAAACGTTTCAATCCTTACTTTTCACTATCCCGATGCTTCTCTGTTTTTGTAGACTTTAAATGAATATCATAGTCTTACTTATCGAAGCATTGAACAAAAATCATTTTTCAATATCAATTTGAAACATTGTCAAATCTGATTTTCATGTAGCGAGACGAAGAGAAATGCATTTAATTAAAGACCTAAAACTTTCACAAGAAATTCATTTGATTGAAGCCACTTCCATTGGATAGTTTTTCTACGTGAGCCATGCCACTCGTTTTAAAGCTACTTTACAAAAACTCATGTGAGATAATTCAGATAAAAAAAAAGACAATAATCTCTAGCGGTTTCATATTTGAGACTGATCATCTATTTTTGAAGGTTCTTCCTGAAAAGAAGATTAAAGCGGCTTGCTCCGATTATTAATTTTTGATAAAAATATTGTTGTTTTTTCTCATAGTTTTTTTAGATATCTGGAAGTTTGTTAAAAATAGTTTTGAATTTTAAAATTGTTATTTAGTGTTAACGAGAACTGTTTCATATATTCTATCCATTCATTTCCACGTTTTAAAAAAAGCAACATTTTCAGCGATAGCTTTTTTTCTTTTCTAAAAATCTAATCAATACAATTTTAATGCCTGATAATTTTTTCAAAGTCTCTTTTCTCAAATTTTCTATTGTTTAATGTTTGTTATACGACTTAGATCTGCGTATTGTCTCTAAATCAAAAAACATAAATATCATTGTTTTTTTTCTTTCGTTGATATGCATGTTATCAATTAAACTATTGCTTTTATTGTCTATTGATCTCTATTATATCGTCTCGTGTAAATTCTAGTAAATTATTCGGTCTGCTATTCTTGTTCTATTTATTCTTTGTTGTTGAATTTATTGTTAAAAAAGTATACATCAAAACAGTTCACAATTGTTTATTTTGTTTTTGCTATTGTTGCACCTCTATGAACAATTATCAGTTCTTTTTTCTCATCTCAATGGTGAGTTATGTTGCCTTTTTTGTGATCCTGATAAAAATAATAAACTTAATTGATTATTCAATCTATCCGTTATTACATTTACACTGGCGCTCTACAAATCAATGTCGACTATTTTTTTCTTAAGATATTAAATTCATCGGCACATGGGAAGACCTCAAGCACTTCCTTTACGTCCCTAAAAGCCATATTTTTAGCTGCATTCAAAAGTTACTTTAAACTAATTGTTAAAAGATAAAAACGTGCACTCGGTTCGATTTTGCTGTGAATCAAAACTAATTACGCCAAATTATCACATGCATGGTTTTCCTTATACTTTATGTATACGTAAATCTATTAGTTAGATTTTATATTATTCAAGTGCAGATTGATTGCATGTGTGAACGAGAGAGGAAAGGCAGAAACATACTTGTTAACTGAGCTTAACAGGAAACATCTTCAACTATCAAATCGCTTTTGACTTCGAATTTTGTACACAAGATAGATTCGAGTAACGTATAAAAAATCTCAAAATACTTAATCTCTCTATACTGCGTATCGGAAATTATAGATATTTTACTGAAATTTTAGCCTCGAGAATTGTGTATACCGGGAAAAAACGCATGGTGATATTGTGACCTGAGATTTTGCCCACAGACAAGTGTATTTTTGAGTAAAATGCCCTGAAAATTTCAATAAAATGCTCTGGATAAAAGGTCACAGTGGGAGATCAATTCTTTTGAAATGCTGCGAACTTCACTGGAATCTATCTCTTAACGTCTATTTTCAACCTTATTGAATATTTCAAATAAATATTTTGCTATCGTCAAGATAAGCAAGCAAAAATTATAATTATTTTTCTTTCTTTCTTTCTATCTTTCTAATGAATACAAATTTTGTACAGGCAAAATCCAATTTTTTTTATCGCAATAAGCAAGACTATGCACTCTACTATGTTAACAAAATCATGTTTTTTTTCCTATTTCTACCTTTTACCTGAGATTAAGAACCAAAAGTGCTGCTATCGGGATGTCTCGTCTGTCACGCATGATTATTTCAGAAAATTAATCATGCATTCACTTGTCGCTGTTTCTCTTTCAAGGTGTGTATGTGTCGGAAATACAATCTAATGCAATTAATATTATTTATAGTTTTTCTTATTGTATCGAGTGTTCAAACGCTTGACTATGATATTAACAATCAACAATTGTGCACTCATAACCCATTTATGGTTAATTTTCATCATAATTGTTCTCGCACACGATTAATTCCAGATGTGAACACAATAAATGATAATCGAGTTTTACAAATAGCAATTATTTTTTCGCCACCAAATGATACGACAAGTTTGCGTATCAATACATCGTTAAATATAATTCGATCATCAAATTATAATCAAACAATTTATTTTATGTTTTATACAATTCTAGAACAACAGATGGTAATAAATAGTGAAATAAAAATTCAACTCAATCTCATCTCAATAGGCTTATACTCGTATGATACATTTTCGACACAATTTATTCCATGGACAAATTCAATTTATCTTGCAAATTTAAATATTCCATTTAGTGAGAGTTTGTGTTTACTAAAAGACAAGCGTTTGTATCCACCAGAAAAAATTTCTCGTTGTTACTTTCTTTTTACAGATGAAACAAATCTTACCATAGATCTATCCCAGTCAAGTTCTCATATTCCATCATTAATGAATCTTTTTGATGGATGTTTTGCTGTAAAAACTAGTCTTACAACACTTGCAATAGTTCTTATTGTTATTGTTACCGTTTTTAGTCTTATTTCATTAGTTCTTGTGGGTCTCTGTCTAAAGAAACAATTGCGTCAATTGTATGAAATCTTGGAAAATTGCATACGTCATAAACGCGATGAGATCCCATCGGGTGTTTTTACTGGCACGCCTACAACATGACAGAAAACCTATTTGATGAAAGAAAAAAGCGACTTAAGATGAAAAGTCAACAACTGATATCAACTAGCAAACTTTTTTTTCGCTTGTCTATGTAATATTTCTGCAAAAATTAATTTTACGGCAAATAAAACCATCTTATTAATAATTCCAAAGTTGATTCATTTGAAAAATGGTTTATCTCCTGATTATATTCTCTTATAGTTCTTTTTCCTATTAGATGTCATCAAAATATATAGAATGAGGTTTTCAATTGTGTTCTTTCGTGTAAAAAAACATTCCTGGAACGTTCATTTTGACAGCATACTTCATCATATTAGAATCTCGATTGACGTAGATATAGAAATAGAAATAGAAGGGGGTCACACAGAATAGATTTATACTAATTGTGCGTTTTTTTCTCTCAAAATCACAATAACCTTAATACCTCGTAGAATAGTAAAGTAGAGTGTGTGAAGATTAATATTTTTCTCAGCTGAACAGTAATTTAGGATTTTATTCGACGTTTACCTTTCATTGATATTGAAAATTTGATGGTCAGTGATAATAATACAATTAATTTAGATCATGCTAATTAAACGATTGATACAAACATTTTGCTTTTTTCTTTATACGGAATTACAATTGAATAGCGTTGAAATCAATTCGTTTGTTCTTAGATAGCGCAGAATTATCTAGTATTAAAACATATAAATGAGTTTCATAGGACAAGTTTCGTGATGATTAGAGAAATCTTATAAATAAGAGCATTAGAAAATTGTTTCGGAGCGTTTTCCACTTAACCCATTAATGCTTCACTCACTAGGAGCCTTTCTTGTTCTATTCATTTATTTCGAGTTACATTATATAAACATAGAATATCATCGTTGAACACAAAAAAGGAAATGTTGTGAGCGCATTATAATTACCAGAGTAGACAATTTTCTACGTATACTGTTGCCAATAAAACTATACTATTGGTGATAGAACACAATTTCTCTCTTTGCCATTAAGAGAAACATTTGACTTCATACTATCAGTATTAAAATAAATTTTTTTCATTGAACTTCTCTTGTTTTGTACGATTGCTTGAATATTAAAGAAATTGCATTTGTTTTAACGAGTAGCTTCATATGCTATGTTCGATATTATTGATAATAATTCAAGTCTTTTAATCGAAATTATAATAGCTTTTCTTGTGTTGCTAAGATCTATATCACATTTAATTATCAGAACCCCTAGAGCAAATGAAAACATACATCTATATTTGCTTGAAAAACGAGTCTCATCACGATTACAATTATATCAAGGATATCTATTGACATCATAGACGAACCACGTAATTTAATCTAAAAATATCGTCGATTATTTTTTCTTCTTATCAGAGATGCTATTTTAAGTGCATTCTTCTTAACCTGATACGAGATTGAGATTTTTCTCAATTGGCAGCTGTCAGAAAAAGATGTTTAAATGACAAACTATCGCGATTCTTTCTTTTACTTATTTTTCTATTCGAATTATCTTTCAAAGTTATAGATTATTTTTTACGATTCAAATTTGGGCATTCTCATTATCAATATGCAAGAAATGACATTTTCAATTTTAATACAAATAAATGTGAGGATCTCAAATCAGATTTTTGAGATCGTAATAAAGTTCAACACTTTCTTATTTTCGAAATAATCGTCATTTGCTTCTAATATTTTTTCTTGTGTATAAATAGCATACTTAAAATATCCTGGAGAATAAAGAGCTCATTGAAAGGAGGCGCAAAGATAAATATATGTGCATACAAGCACTTATTTTTCAATCTTAGTAAGTGACTTATCCTTTTATATAGGATGAGACAAAAAAATTGTCGTGTATTCGATGACCCCATATTCATCCTAGTCGAATGGCAATCATCCAACTGTTGTCGATTGATCAGCTGAATACAAATTTAATTATCAGGTTAGGTTCTGATTGTGGACACTTGCTATTTGGTTAATAAACGCTATACGCCTTTAGCATAGAATAAAAACGAAGAGACTAAAACAGATGCACTGAAAAACTAGATAAGATTTACTGTGAGAATAAAATAATTAATCACGTATTAGATTTTTATTAGGTTAAAAATAAAAGTTATTATTGCGAGTGATTTAGTTTACTTCAGTAATATCTTTTTGATAAATAATTAGGTTCGACATATTTTTGTCGTACTTAAATAAAAATTGTTTTTATCATTAACCATTAACGAGAATTGTTGATTTCTCTCACTCTTGAATGCATCCGTCCGATTCAGTACGAAAACATGCCACATCTTGAACAATGAAAATATAATTGATCGCCATGTCATTGTCCTTTTTATTAGGGTTTTAGTTAGATTCTCATTAAATCAGATGACTGCTAAAAATAACATTATATATACATAAATCATCTGTCATGTTATGTGTATAAGAAGAATATAATCCGTTGATTTAAGAAAATTTAAATTTACATTATACATTGCTTTAATTACACTGCAAAACATTGAATTAATTTAATCTATCTTTAGTAATCATCTATTTCCCTTTTTGCGTACATCCGTTTTTTTTTGCCACTCTTCTATTCTCTTTTGCGAACCTTTTTTTCTTTCTTTCTTCAAATAAGACAACAAGAAATGTCCTCAATATCGAATTTCCATGTATAACAAGTGTTTATCTTATGCAATAATTAATTATAGTCATAATTAACATGCGAGTATATTCAATAAAAATTGTATTTAAAAATTCGACGAAAACAAAAAAAAACGAAAGAAGAATAGTTCTGTAGGTTTTTACACTAAACACAAATGTCTTTTCTTTTTTTACACATGTTGGACTGACGCAACATCACCTTGCTTCTTTTCTTAAACTTACATACACGTTCAAAACAGAAAAAAAAATACGAACAATAGCTAAAAAAACAAAGATGAGCAAAAACCGTTTCTCTCTCTCTCTCTCTCAGCTTCAATCATTTTTCATACATAGTATGTAAATGATACCTGCGACCGCCAATGATAAATAAACGAATGAATAAATAAACTTAAAAGTATAATTACAAACAATAGACGGAAAAAGATGAAGAGAAAAATAAATAAAATAAAATTATGTTGGTTTGTCTTGTGCTTGAGGTCTTACTGTTGTTTGCAATGGAGGAGTTGAAATTGGAGAAGAGAGTTGATTTCGAAAGAACGCTCCTTTTTGATCTATAATAGAGATAAAAGAATTAATTGAAAATTGAAAATTTTCATTCATTTACTGCAATCAAGATTTGCTGACAATGAATTATGTCCCGTTGTTGCGGATAAATCTTTTCCACCTGCTGGTTTTTGCCGGCCCTGAATTGTAGTTTGTAATTGTTTACGCACAAATTCACTTGTTGATCGAACAGGATGAAAACTGTTAAGAAGAAAACAAACAAATAAATAAATACAAATTGTACAAAAAGAAAAAAATTATGATTTATTTTACCTCAAACAATTAATCATTTGATTATTGATTTCTTCCGATTGACGGCATTCAGCTGACGTTAAATTAGGTATTGATGGATTCATAAGATTATTCGAATCTAGATTAGAAGACAATGAATTGAATAAAGATTCAAATCCAACAAAAATTTAACGTACTTTGTGAATTTTGTTGTATAGTTGCCGACAGAGCTACGCTCATATTCGAGTATGGTGGCTAAAATAATTAAAAACGATTATTATACGCACTCCAATATTTCGTAAATACCTATGACTAATTTTTTATTTTGATCTTATCGTCTATAGCTTAGTTATGGAAGTAATAAGAGAATCATTTCCCTCTTTTTTCTCTCTTTTCTATCAGATGAGCTCATTTGTTCTGTATATTTCTTCGGGTAGTGTCAAGGCCTTCTTGTCCAATATGTCATCATATGCAGCAAAAAAAAAGAAGAGAAGAAGTATTGCCTTGAACTTAGAAGCACGCACGAGAATGAAAGAATAGAAATTGGAGGACATCCGCCAATGGACGAGGATAGTGCTTCTCGTTTCTTTTTTTACATTCTATGTCAGTTGCTCAATCCTGATCATGTACTCAATCATTAGACCAGTGTAGAGATGAAATAAAATAAAAAGAGAACGGAAAAAGAATGAACTCCTTCTTATGTTCAATTAATCGAATTTCTTTAGCAAATAGATGACCGACTTATGCTCTCTACGTCATGAATACAAGCTCATGCACAATATCTGTATTATTTATTTGATCTCTCTATATATATATATATACAAACGCGTATTACTAATATCATGTTAGTAGACTGAGGCAAATATTATGTGACCAAATTAATGAACCAGAATTTGTGATCTCTTTTTCTTGTTGAACAACTACCTTGACCTCTTTTATTTATTCTCTCCTGAGCGTGTATCAAAGCTGAATATGAGAAGATTATATTGAATATTCATCGTTATATAACTATGACTTCCTCGAGTAAAATTGGAATCATATGACATTTAAATATAAAGTTTTATCTTTCTGTTACATTTTTTTCTCTTAGTTTCATTTCTTGATTCTGGGTTACTCTGATAAATAATAGAACCTTGAAATTGTCAAGAAACAAATAAAGAAATATTTCTTTTCTGAAGCCTTGAATAGAAATGTAATAGAAAGAGTAATAGAGAGAGAGAGAGAAGAGAAGGGAGAAGAAGTACGAATCATTTTTTTGTTTCTCTCATTTTTTTGCTGTTATTTTTTACGTCATAACGAGATTAAAATATTCCCTAGCAGCAGGCATTTGCATTTTTTTCTCTTTTATCAAGTGTATGTTTATTGAAAATAACATTTCGGTTTCTTATCATATTCGAGTCATTCTTGTTAAAGATATGACTCTATACGTATAAAAAGTTCTTCTACATATATGACCTGTAATGCAGAATAGGAAAAAAAATAGCGCAAGTCTAACTAAGCAAAATAATGATCTGCTACCACTTCATAGATATCATGTGTATGTTGATCGATAAATGACAAGAGTGAAAAACAACAGATTACTAATTCAGTTGTTTTTTCTCGAGACAGAAGATTTATCGAAGTATTTATTCTATTATTAGACACTGTAAATATATTGCGAATCTGTATTATTTATCGCTTCGTCACTCAGTAATAGACAAGAGAGAAAAAACGATGAGTAGAGATTACGTTTACATGAGTTGTAGATACACCTCGTCGCTATGTTTTATACATTATAATTGGCTATGAAGTAAAACGAAATTTCGCGTTTCATATTCTTCTTTTCTTCTCATGCATGGTTCCTTTTTCTGTTTTCTAGACTAATAAACTATATATCTTAAGTCGATTTGTGCTTTTTATTCTGTCGTATTATTTTCCAAACACTCGTTGGGATTCAATTTTATGATTCTTTTAATGTTCAATGACAATAAAAGGTAAGTGGACAAATAAAAAGGAAGAAATATGTACTGTGACACACTCACTTCTCTTTTGTTCGAGTGGTTAGTGTTGAAAACTTACACCCTCAATCAGTCTATTTTCGTTCTACGTATGTCGCAAGGAATTTTGTAGAAATAATAAATATTTTCAATTTTTTTCTCTATACGAAGAATTCTTAATGGCATGCATGTTCTTTAAGAAATGATACTTAGTTCCATACGTGTCATACTAACTTTTTATTTCATAAATATGTGTAATTATTTCATCAAACTAGAGGAAAATATTTTTCTATCTCAATTAGGCATATCTCATCATTTTCTGAGTACTTTAGTTTTTTATCTTTTAAATATTTAACATATCATTTTTATTGACTCGAGAAAATCATGAATGTATTGTTTTTTCTACTTTATATCGTTCTAAAAATATCTCATTGCGTTCAATATTCATAAGTTATTAATTTGACCTTGGTTATGTTTCGATAGCGATCGAGTTCTACAACAATACTTTCGTATTTTATTTTTTATGTGTTCGATTAAGGCTTCTTTTTTTATTATGTAAGGATTAGTTGAACGAAAAATTAAGTACAAAGACGGACAGTTGAGAGAACGAATGTTTTTCGTATTAAGAATGAATAAGAAATGTACCCGAAAAAGAAAAGGTTATGATAACGTAAGTATTCTTCGTTCGTACATATTGTAATAGTAGTATCATCAATCAACAAGATTCAAAATACTATCGATTGCTTCATTTGCATAGAAAAAAAAACAAATTTTTGCGTATTTTGATAAAATGTAATCGAGATAATGTTTATTGTGCAATCAGATTTAAACTAGAATTCTTGTTAATTAATTCATTCATTTTATATAAAAATCGAAGTTTTTAATCAAGATGTTTGCGTTAAAGTATGTCGAATTTTTACGGTTTAGAGCTAAAAACCTTGAAAAGCAGAGAATACGATTATGTATTCACTGTAGAAAATGGATTGATAACAACAAAGGACCTTCAGGATATACTTATGTAAGAGGAATTTATAAATTTCTAAAAAATATAGAGTGATTAATGCATATAAGCGATGATGATTAAACTTAACTCAAGAGAGTTTTAAACTCAAAGATTATTCAATAAATATAAAGAGAATTAATTGAGTTAGGAACTAAATTGATTGGATCAATACGATTCGAATAGAACTATTGAATAGAGTTTTTCAGCAATTAGTATCGTATTTTCTTCTGTTCTTTTTACTTATTGTATCATTATGTAAGATTTAATTATCAAAATTCGTCTATGATTAAACCTACAGGAATCTTCTTCTTTTTTACATAGTGTAGTAATTTCAATATACTAATTAGTAATCCTATCAGCTAGTCTTATGAATTAAACTGCAGAAAATAGATCTTAAGAAAGATCTTTACGCTTAATTTTATTGTTCTGAATTTATGTAAACGTCGTGACTCGTGTTTTATTAAAACAATTTAATTGTTAGATGTGTTATAGTTCTTGTTAAAATATACCTGATGCATTGGAGGTTGTGAATGTGGTGGAGGCTGTTGATGTTGCGTGACATTCATATGGCGATTCTGCATGGATTGTTGTGTCATATTTGGGGATGGTGACATAAAAAGATCGGGATTATAGGAAAGCTCGAGTGAATTATTATTTGAATATTGATGAAAATCCTGTTGTAATGGTGGAATATTGTTATTAGGCATCATTGGATCATTGTATGTATTCACCATAGCTAAATTAATAAAATAAAAATAGATATTTTGTTTTTCTAAGTATTTATTGCTGAACATACGTCGATGAGCCAACTGCTGCTGCTGTTGTTGTTGTTGCTGCTGCTGCTGTTGCGGATTTGTCATCATCTAGAAAAACAAAACTAATTAAAAAGTTTATAGCGAGAGCATTTAATTTTACATGTGGTAAAGTAACATTCATCGACATATGAAATTGAACTTGCTGCTGATGTTGATTCATTTGTGCAGCAGTTCTTTGTTGCTGTTGTTGATGAATTAGTGCTTGTCTTTTCGCTGCTGCTGCTGAATGATGATTAGCAGATGGCATTCGCTGCTGTTGATTTGTTGATGGTGGAATCGAATAATAACCAGAATTCATTTGATTTGGTGCTGGTTGAACATAATTATTATACATTGGTTTTTGTTGTTGTTGTTGTTGCTGCTGCTGCTGCTGCTGCTGCTGCTGCTGTGAAGGTTGACGATAGATCATATTTGGCGTTTGATGATGTTGAATATGTGGATCGGATTGTTGAGAATACATCATCATTGCATTTGTATTCATAAGTGTTGTTGTTGTTGTTGTTGTTGTTTTGGATTGATAGGAATTATTCATAGGCGATAACGTTACATTTGGAGGAAATGAACCACCATTATCCATTTGTTCCATTGAAAGACAGTCAGGATATTGAGTATTCTAAATGATAAAATAAATACATAAAAAAATATAATTTTCGCGGGATTTGTTACATTTGATGAATATGGAAATGTTGAAATTTGTGGAACAGATGGTGGACAATACATCGATGATGATGGATCATGACTAACTGTTCGATTGGGTGGAATTGGATTCGACGTTTCAGGGAAAAGGAAGCCACCGGTAATAGAATCTATAATGAAGAAATAATCAAGAAAAATTTAAGGTTTTTATTTCGATAAATATTACTAGAAGTATTAATATCAATAGGCAAAGAATCTATAGTTGATGATGATTGTTGAGATGAACCTTAAAAGAAAGAAGAAAGTAATGAATCGAATTATATGTTTTGTTTATCTTACCGGGATGAAATGAAGTCACAAGAGTTTTATAAATCTCACTAATAGCTTTTTCATCTTTGTCACTACGCTTTGTTGCTGCTGCTGCTGCTGTTGTTAATGATGATGATTGTGTAAATGTTTGTTCGATAAGACTCGTTGAATTTTGTGATAGTATTGAATCTATTGTTGTCGAATCATTTAAACATTCAAGAAAATCTCTATTATCTAATAATGAAAGAAAATCGTCATTTGAATTGGTTGTCATTGTTGTTGAATTAAATAGCTCGTGTGCTATTGCTGATATACGATTATTATCATTAATTGTTTGTTGTTGTTGTTGTTGTTGCTGTTTATTTGTTGGTATGAATGATAATTCATTGGGTTGTTTAGGATCAGTATTTAACAATGCAGCGAGATAATCATCTTTTGATGAGTTATTATTATGATTATTGCTTCCCATAGAATTTTGTGACATAACAGGTGTTAAATATTGCTCGAATGGATCAATAGAATTATTAAGCGATGATTGACCAGAAAATAATGAATTATCGTTTGGTGTTGTTGTTTCGAGATGTTCCAATAGGTCATATAATGGTGCATCTTTTTTGGTTATTATTGATGAATTTTGTGGTGTACGAATTAATGTTCGTAGTAATGTTGATTGTGAATTACCCATTGACGAATTGGCATTGTTTATTGGCATTGATCGGCACGCTTGAGATTGTGATAATGGTGAGTTTTTATCAAACGGCATAGTATGATCGTATTGTTCTGGTTCAGTTTTGATCATAATTTGAGATGACTAAAATAAAGTTTATAGTTTTAGTTGTAGAGTAAGAAAAAAAAGGATAAACTCAAGTACATAGACATTATTTGAGTGAAAGAAAATATTAAATGATTAGCGTTTTAAACTAACCTGATTAAGTAGTTTTGTAGCAGTGATTGTCTGTGTTGGTGAAATATCTTGACATCCAATTTTAAAGTCATCTTTAAGTGCTTGTGTAAGTAATTTGGGAAATTTTCTTGAATTTTGTAAATGTTCATCATTGTCAGAGGATCGCTTATGATTTATTGTTGTGTTTGATGTTGATGATTGTCGTGTTGTACGACGGAGTACAATCGGTGATGTTTGTGTCATCGGTTGATCTATATTAGTTGATGAATCCAATAGAGCGTCGAGTGATCCATCTGATAATGTTGATTGTGGTGTTTGACAATGATTTGTTGTTTGAAGAAAGTCGGTTTGCTAAAAAGAAAATAGTCGAAGTTTTGAAACAGAAAATGATGAGAAGCGAACTATTACATTTCGCTTTGGTCTGCCAGGTTTTCTTGGTATAGGATTATTTTGATTACCAAAATTAGTTGAATTTTGGCGGCGCTTTTTCTTTCCTTTACCATCAGATGCATCTGATGTTTGAGTTTTTAACGTTAAACGTGTATTGTTATTTTTTGCTTTATCATTTTCAACTAATACATTCGTACCATTTGTTGCATATTTATTTGATACTTGCCGTGCGCCAAGTGCAAACGGAGCATCGACAACAACTTTTTGTGGACGAACTTCATCGTTGAGTAGAGTCTAAATGTTAAAGAAATAAATTAGAGGATAGAATATAGTTAATGAAATAACGCAGATTAAGTTCTGACTTGATTGTTATGCGCAAACATTAATGGATCAGTGTGATCTAGAATTACTAGGTAGCAAATTTGATAATTAACTTTGTAACATTATGTTAAAATAGATTTCACAATTGAGTTGGACTCGTATATGCGAGATTCTACAAACCTTTTGTATTTAGATAATTTAGGAGGGAGTATTCCGGGCAGTCTTATATATCGAACGTTCTAGTCATTTGAAATATCGTAAGGTTCCCAACTAAAATGTAGAAATTCTTGTCAAGATATTTGAATTTTAACAACCCGTTGCTTTCCAAAACGAGGATATTGCAATCGCGAGCTAATAACTCAAGATGACAAGATCAGAAAACAATTTTTTTAGAAAACCAAGTCTATAGGCTCTTAGAACGAAACATTCTCTATCAAACAATGTAAACATTCTGTCTCCCTACAATCTATGCGCTTATTCTGAATTCAAAAGAAAACAAGCGAATTCTGTTTTTTCCTAAAGGAATGTGTTTAGTTTACTCGAAGAAAAGTGTCACTGCGTTGTTTATTTGAAGCATGTCCACTTGATGAACTATCATCACTATGATTCGAATCTGTTCTGACTGGTGATGTTGAATGAGAATTTGGTTTCTCTAAAATCTTTTTGAGCAATCCATCGCCTCCATTATTTTGTTCATTGAATGTAAAACTATTTTTTCTTCGACGTTTTGCTATTGACGATAGTAATTCATTTGTTAACGGGGATACATGTGTTGTTGTTGGACTTTCTGGTCCTTGTATAAAATCTTCAAGTTTTTCATCGGCATGATAATGTAATGTTTGAGACGGATTATCGTTGGCTGATGGAGACTTCGTTGATAACAATTGTCGCAAACGTGTTGAACCACGCGCTGAATTGAGTAATGATGGCGATGGTGATGTTAAAACTGGTTTTGGACTCGATGACGTTGTATAAATATCACTATTTGAAAATAACGGTGACGAAGTTTTAGTATTGGTTGGTGATGATAAAAATGCTTGTAAATCATTTGAATTCGTTGTTGCCGGTGTAGGCGAAGAAAAAAATATATCAAAAGAATTAACTGGTGATGATAGACTACCATGATTGGAATGTACTAAATTAGGAGAAAAAGAATAGATAGATAAGGTAAAAGTAAAAAGTATCACAACATAGATGTCTTTTTTTTCGGTCTCAACGGTAACAGCAGAAGAAAATTAAAGGAAAAACTTCACAAGCTAAAAAATTGCTCGCACCGCTAGAAGAATAGTGGGTAGCCACAAAACAGAGATTGTCAAATAGTGAGATTATTTGCAAGTGAAAAAAAATATGTTTCGGAACTCTATTAGACACAGAATTGTAGAAAGGTAGTAGTGTTGCGCATCTCCTCGGATGAATTCTGCTTGATTTGATAGAAACAATTGTGAATACTTCTTTGATTTTCTGTTAAAGTAAAATACGGAGTTTTCTAAAAAAAAAACCATTTTAATATCATTCCAAACGGCAGAAGAAAGAAGAGAGCGATTATTTTCGGGAATTTTACCGGATCCTAATGAACGACTGAAAGATGTTCGTTTACTACCAAATTCAACGGTACCTGACGAAGAAACATCTATGAAAAACGAAAGATTTATTTTTAGAACAGTTATTTTTACTTGTACTTACTTTCAAGTGTCGATGACTTTTGAGCAACTAATCGATTTTGTATTGGCGACGATGATGGTGTCAGCGACGCTTGTTGTTGTTGAGATTGATTTTTCTCATGTGGACTAGTCAGTGATGAAGTTGATAATGAATTTTGCACTTGTATTAGCGTGCCTAACGTACTAGACACATGTTGTTGTAAAGAGTTCGAGGCATTTTTTCGCATGCCTAACATCGTTAATGCAAACTGCGTTCCGATTGGTGGGGTTGCTGGCGATGCTACTATTGTTTTATTTGGTGTTTGTTGTTGTTGTTGCTGTTGCTGTTTATTTTTTTGTAAATCACGATTTGATGAAATAATCGATTTCATTAAACGTGTAGATGCATTCCCATTTAAATCATTTACATTTTCAATTAGACTTTAAATAAGAAGAAGAATTCTAATAATATCAAATGGTTTTCTTTTCTATTTACCGAACAATTGTATGTGTTGAAAGTATAGAATCAGATTTATTCGCTGTTGAATTATGAAATAGTTTACTCCGAGTATTTATAAATGCATAAATATTATCGTGAAGGCAAAAGCGATAGACGGAACTTTTTCCTTCACCATTTTCAATAACTAAAATAGAAAGAGAAAAATATTACTTGGATCCGTATGAGAAATGATATCATAGTGCTGAATATGACAGTACGATGGATAAAACACTAGAAGAAAGAATCTCGTGTAGATCATTTCGGAAACTCATGAAGGTTATTGCGAGAGTAAATGCCAGAAGTAAAAAATATGTCGTAACCCAAACGCTTGCTATATGTTACGCTCGACTAAATGTACATGGAGACAGAATTGATTTTTTTTTGTAAGGTATCGGCAATAAAAACTGTTTTTTCATACATCATTTCGCTGTGTATGAGTGTTAGATGGGAATGAGGGGGAAAACGTCTAGTTTTTGTCAACTAAATACTTTATATCAATAAAAAATAAACCAATATGAAAAGTAACAAGATTTCTCTTGTAAGGGAGTGTTTTTAACAGAATATGTTCTTTCACATTCAACATGAAAAAGAAAATATAAGACTGAAAAAGTTAAGTTGATTTTAATTCAAAAAACATCTTGACATTGTCGTCATTTTCATAGTAATTCTTAGATGCATTTTTCTGAGTTTTATGCGGAGGTGATCTAGTGTTTACGTTTGAATTATGATTTCATTATTCGATAAATAGATAATGTTTTGTTCGAAATCTGTTCGTTAATTCACCGGATTTCTGCTCTTGGCTGGCGATTTTCTCTATACAAATATGAACTCGTACGATAGAAATCTTCATACGAAATAACCCTAACGTAATCGATGAATACTTACAAATTTATTAATTTTTCATCGAAATTTCCACTGGGGATTTTTTCAAAAAGAAACGTGCTCGAACAAGCTTGTAGGTCGTAAAAACGAAAGAACATAAGTAATTCTTCTTTTTGCCGTAGTGATTTTATGATGAAAAACTGCTAACTATTCAGCGAAAAAACGATAATATGTAGTTTTATCATTAATAAAATTATAAATCAAAGTTGTGCAGGCGATGAACTTCACGTTTAACTTCAGGAATAACGTTAATGCATTGCTATGGCATAACATGAATATTAGAAAGCTTTTGTAGGCATATGTCGACTTCATTTCTCTTTTTATAATCAAATTTTTCAGCGCTGAATTCATTAAAAAGTCTCTTTCAAAATACTAATAAGACACGAAATTCTTGTATTTTCGAACAAAATTATTGCTTTCTATAGAAGAAAACTTAGGAATTTTCTCTTCTTTTTTTTCTGTCTTTTGAAAAGTCTATTCATGAACTGTAAGAATAGTTTCGCTATAATTACAGTATGGATAAAAACGAGAAGCCAATTTTACTTTGTAACCTTCAACTAAGAAAATTCTTTTTCATCTTCTTTGATCATGGAGAAATTCCAAAATAAATTATTTTATCTTATGTTAAATACTTCTACATTCGTAATTGCCACATTTTAAGTTATAAATTAAAAAGAACGTTCAGCGTCTATTAGAGTTTTCACGCTTAAACGCAGTCAATCATGCATACTGTATTCTCTACATAAAACGCTTTAACTTTAATTACATGAATAAAACGTTCACAGTTGATTCTCATTAACATACTGAGCTTTTTTTTGTAAAGTGGGAAAACGTCTGGCAATGTTTTTGAGTAATCTTGTTATTATTCCATAACGAAAAGGTCTACCTTTCGTAATTAAAATTGAATACACAAGACTCTCTAGAGTCATGCAGAATACTAAACTACATACATTTGAACTACTTTAAAGAAAAACTTCATCTTTAGTTGAATACTTGAAATAGTCATTACGATAATTTGTTATGAGATAAAACTCATATAGTGATTATTTTGTTCAATATATATATATCGTACCTTCTTGAAAATGACGTTCAATGGCTGGAATATCATGAATATAAACATAATCACGAAAATTTTTTCCACGAAAATTTATATCCAATTTTTCATTTTTCATATGGCTATAAGCGATAAATAATTTAATTTCCTTTCTTTTTTGAGTTTTTAAAATAAAGATTACCTTGAATCTAAATTTTCAATATCATAATTTAGATTAATTCGTGATGAAAATTGATCAAAACCAAGCAATGATGGTTTATCATTAGGATCATTTAATGATGGTCGCCGTGCAATACATATCAAAAACGTTTTATCACTGCCCAAAGAATCACGATGCAGTGCAACAGATATAATCATGCGAATGTATGGTGTAGAATCTTTAAATGAAGATATTACATTTTTCTTTTCTCGATAAAAGAGAAAAAAACAAACCATCATTTGTTCGCATACGACAGAGAAATGTGCGTCCACGGGATTGTATGGATGATTGTTCATTATTAACAAGTGCTGCTGCAGAATCACCTTTTTTTTTTTTTATAAATTAGTCTTTATGAAAAAATTAATATAAGTAACAAACCGGCATCTTTTTTTGCCCAAGCTTTACTGAACTCGCCGACATCATTCGGATGCACAAAATGATATAAACTTCTTCCGGCAAGTTCTTCCTTAAAACAAAAATGAATAGAACAACCAACAAAATGTAAAAGCAAAGTCTTCTAAGTTCAAATAATAATTACTTGAGAAAATTTCAAATACTGTCCAACATTATCGCTAACAAAATCCAGTTCAAAATTGTGATTTATTGTAAAGAAGAAACCATCCAAAGCCTAGACGAAGAGAAAAAAACAAGACAAACTTTATTGATTTATCTATTCGTTTTTATTTATGTAACTAGAATGTATATTCTTATTTATATTCTAGATAAGGTTTTTACCAATTGAATACTGTGTACAATAAATTGATCAATGTTTGTCGATATATTCAGTTCACTCATGCCCATAATTAAATCCTAGTCAATTATCTTTAAATAATAATGCGTTTGATCGAAAAATAAATGACAGAAAAGAAAACAGAAAACGATTTTCATATCCTGTTTTTTTTTACAAACAATCTTGTAATCATCATCATTATCGATGCAAAAATGCGCAAGTAGCTATAAGACACACACACACACACATCATCATCATAATCATCAACATGAAGAGAATGTATTTCAAAAGGAAAGAAAAGAAAAAGTAACAACATGTAGCGACTGCAAACACCTCTCCTTTGTCTTGCTGTTTCAATCTGCATAATGCACCCTTACATGCGTTATAGTGTGCAGTAATCTTTCTCATCGTTGTCATCGCTGTTCCTTCAGCCCATAAACATCCACAAGATGGTTAAAAAAATAGGAAAGAAAAATCGGTAACATTTGTTCATTTAAAGACTACTGTTTCTAGCATTTTTTCTTCCTTTTCCTGGCAGCATATTCATAAATTGACAGAATCTTAAGACTTAAAATTCACTAATTATTCTATCTGTCTCCTCTTCCTTTTCTTTGTCTAATGTAAAAGACAAAAAAAACCTTCTTTTTTCTATTCGCTAAAAACAAAATATAAGCAAAATTTAAGACAAAAAAACTTTACTATACCTCAAAAAGAAGTGGTCCAAGTGCATCATATGCAAGTAATGCTGGCCGTGATGATGAGACATCCGATTGTTGAATAACTGATGCTGAATCTATTCGTTGTCGATTCGAATTGATAGGCGAACATGCCGGTTTAATAACCGTGGGTGATGATGTTAAGCCAATATCATCCATCACTTACACTATAATTCGAACATTCTATAAATATAAATGAAAAATAGGAATATTTTGTTGTATTCAACAAAAAACGGATGACAGCAGTATTTTTCTTACACATGTCAGGTATACGAAAAAAATTCACAAGAATGTATTGATGCGTATAAACGATACGATGTACAAATGAAGAAACGTTTTTTTTTCTGTAGTTAGCGGTAGAGAGAGAAAAAAAGGTGTAAGGTGAAAGATATTAGCATTAGTAAGGGTGTCGTGATATTGTCTCATGTTAGTATTCATGATTCTCGTTAGTGAAGCAAAACATGAAAAAACTCTAAGCAATAAGTTGTTTGATATAATAATTGTAATGAAATTATAACTCAAAATAAAAGAAAAAAAACGAATGATATTTAGTTGGTTTAAAAAAAATTATGAGGACTATTACTATGGGATAATCTAGAAAAAAACAAAATTTTCTCGAATTTATTTGTTTTTTTTCTTCTTCTGCTATAAAGCAATGAGTGCAAGATCATATCATCAGCAGACAAAAATACCATTGAATATGATGAGTAGCCTCCTCTCAGAAAATATTGCATTCATTGGTTGTAATTTTATCCAATCAAACAATAGCAATCGTAGATTTTGATGTTGAAAAAGGTATTTATTTTTTTCGCTGTAAACTGAAAAAAGACAGAATTAACACTTACTTGACGATCAAATTTCAACTGATTATATAGAAATATTTCACTGGTATGCGATTTTTTTCTAAAATAGCCTCGGTTTCATGAATTATCTCGATGAAAACAAGTGAGCGAATAAGTAGCAAGAGTATGTTAGGATATACGTCTTCCCTAAAACCAACGAATGGCTATGTTTTTCATGCAATCAAAGGGCAACAAAACATGTACTCGATTGACTGTTTTATCAATAGTCTTAAGGGCAGTCGGATTAAGTAGAACACATCAAAATTTTGCTATACGATTTGATCGACATTTTTATTCGAGCTAACTGGAATACGGAATGAAAAATATCTTTAATAAAATGTACATATTTTATTTCAAGATGAATATCTGTGTAGTTTTATTTTCCTTGAAAAATTGCCTATTGCATTTTTACTAATTTTGTTTTTAGAATACATGACTATCATGGAGCCACTCTTTGTTTAACTTGTCATATAAAAATTTCTTTTGAAGGAATATTTTCTACTGTTCTATTATGCTAATTCTTTATATGATCCTAAGAGATCCTCTTAGATTTTTGTATGTCAATAGTACATTTCAAATTTTATTGATACTACAGATATATAGACATATAAATATGGATCTTTATAACTGATCTAGTTTTATGTTATTTGAAAATCTATAATTTGCATGGATCAGAAAATTACTTATAGCCACTCGTAGTTCCTTTTTCTAATAGACAAATATACGAACGTCTAAGAAAGCTTCTTATGATTATATTTAAAATCAGCATTGTTCATACTGTTACACTCATTAGCTCCCGATTAGCAAACATAAAGCTTTGCCACATTAGATTGCATTTCCTGGATTTGAAATTAACCAGAAAACATTTTTTTTGCCACAGAGGGCAATAACTGAACTGCATATTTTCTTTCAGGATTCATACGAGACATTGAGAAAACTAAAAATAAGAGATTTCATAACAAAATATCTTTGCAGGTAGAGACATTCATAGTTTTTTTTTACCTAAAAAGATAAACCATCTGACGCAAAGAACTTTAATCGATATTAAGTATGATATGTATTCGTGTCTTTTCAGTCAAGAGAACGTAGCTAGTAGAAGGTTATATGCTGTTCAAATTATGTCAGTTCACAGCAGATTAATTGAAAAAGAAAAAACGCACTAAAAGTAACTTTTCTCGATGTCAACATAGTCCAGATGTAGCGTTCAATGGTGCTACTCAAAAATCACATGAAGTATACCTTGTTTGTTTCTTTTATGTTTTAGTATTACAAAATTATATTGCTTGTTCCTCCGTGTATTCATATGCAAGAGTTTCTTTCGAGTTTCAGATTTTTAACTTCACGTGTTTCACAGGTAGCATAAGACTTTCACTTGAGACATTTCCGCTTTTTACACAAATATTGCTAATTGGCTTTCAGAGATCTGTATGTAATTTGATACTGTCTAATAGTTTTGCATTGTTTAGTATATCGAAAGGCAAATATAAACTTGAAGATTTATTTTAGTATTCTTTAATGCATTTTGAAATATATACATTGATTTAGAAACCATGCTGAACATGGGCATTTTGCTAATAAAGAAAAATTGTACAGCGCCATTTTGTATTGGATTTTCTATAGAGAAGTTACTCAAAAACTAAATGTTTTGCGTTTCGCCTAAATATTAAGAGTGCACTCGGAAGGGTAAGATTAGAAGTAGAATTTCAAAAGAACTTATTTTTGTCTCGGTTTATAATGATTTACTACGAACATTGATGAATGCATCATTTAGTGGCACCTCGAGTTGTGTGTTCAACATTTAGTATCGGGATTTTTACCTATGTTATCTTACAGTTCGTAGAGTTCCGTGCCATTTTTTTCATCAGGAAAACGTTCTCGTGGTGTGTACATAAACATTGCTTTTCTATATTTCTAGATAGTATTCTTGAATGAAAAAAGTAATGATGCATAAAAATTTTAAGTTCTAAAATAATGTCGGACTTTTGGACTCAATTAATACAATATACAGATGGAATCGAAACTGAAACATCTGATATTGATAATCCTGAGCATCTTCTATCGAAATTATTAACACATGCTGAACACGAACGAGAATTACTTGAAGCTAAAGTAAAAAGAAAAACTGATTGATTTTGAAAAATAATTATGTTTCCCATAGTTTAATCCAATCTCAATAGCAACAAAAGAAAATCTTTCAATAGTATCTCAATTACACAATGGCATAACAATGACAAAAAAACTTCTTGAACAACATGAACAACTGCGAATTCAAGAATGTAAATTAGCCATTGAATTGAAATCACGCGAAAATGAAGCAGAATTAATTGCTCAAGATTTTCGCACAACTGTTAAACGTTTGAAGAACACAGCAAGGATTATTGATTATCTTCATTGCCTTGAAACACTCTTGACATATAGGTATTTTCAGTTGTTTGATTAGACTTCTATAAAGAAAAAAGAAAAAGATATTCCTTATGTAAACAGAAGAAAACCACTGTTCAAATTGCATCTTTTTTTTCTATGAATACATTTTTCGACGTAAACATTCAAATTAGATAAGAAGCAAACAGATTTATTTATTTAAAAAACATTCTACCCTAATATTTGAACTTATTTAAATGTGATATTTAACGAAATAAAATTTAATGGTGAAGTGTTTCTTTAAGAAAGTTTATTCTTTTGCAGAATGGCTGAAAAATGCCTATATTTAGAGTCGAAATTTTCTTGTTACTCCGCACGTCTTAAATTTGATCTTGAATTCGCTAAAAAAAAACATTGCCGATGAATTTGTCTTATTTAATATTTCATACGAGAAAGCCTTGTCAAATAATAAATCCCATTTGAGATAAGTCGTAGCTTGATCTAAATAATCCCGGCTTCTTGAGTGATAATCATTGGATTAACTTTTCCAACCAAAACACTCACTCATAGATCACTTTCGATGTTGTATTCGATTTTAGACGTTGCACAAGTTGAGTTTTTCAACAAAAATAATTCATAATAAGTAGGAAAATAATGTTGTTTCTCGTCAATACTGAAAAAGGAATTATCGTAGATGATCAGCTCGCTAAATATTTCTATGAAAATTTTATTTTATTTGATTCCTTCTCTAGAAATGCTCAAAAGAAGACGTACTATTCATTGATTACTTTTACTGGATTATTCAAATAATTCACACAACTCTAAACTATCTATTTCGTTTTTAGCTCTGCACTGGAAAAATCTCTTTCCGCTGAATCGCTGGATGAATCTTTATCAATTTATTCTAAACTGTCAAGGCTTACTGAACTCGTGCATGACACCTCAACTGAACATTTACGTGCGTACAGTACTAATCTTGCACTTTATTGGTATGAAGAACTTAAAACTGCTATCGAATCGTAAGTCTATTTAACATACGAAATTTTCGGTTCACTTGTTTTCTCTCCTATAGACGTATGGAAAACGTCTTGAAACTTATCGAATTTCCATACATTCGTAAAATGCCACCAAATGTTGTGATCGAATTATTTGACATAAATCGTGATATATTAAAGCAAGAATTAGCGTACGCATTAAAATTGCGGCTACCAAATAATGTTAAACATGATGATGTTCAATCACGTTTACGTTTTATTGGTTGGAAACCAATCCCATTATTCATTCATATGCTATTAAAAGGTTTTATTACTCGTTTTAACTTTCATTTTTATGGTCAACAAAAAACAAATGATCGTCGTAAAGTAACAAGCCGAACATTCTTAGAAAAAAATCTTTTTCGATTTTTCCTGTTCTCTTTAGCCTGAATGGTATCTTAATCAAATAATTACGTGGATTCTCGATCATGATGATTTTCTAACTAAACAATTACAACCATTAATTGATGAATTTTCGGATGTCTCACCAATTAATGTTAAAGTAAGCACGACATGTGTGAAGAAGAAGAACAAAACTAGTTTATTTTGAATGATAAATAGGTTGAATTTATTCGCGGTTTGATCGAACTTATTATTGTTAAAATTGACAGTCAAATAACGTCGATACTTAGTGATACAACATTATTTACACATTATATTGAAGAAATTCTTATTTTTTCACAACGTCTGTTTGAAAAAGATATTGATTACCCACAGGATTTACCGAGCTGCATGAATTTATTATGTGATGAAATCGTTTTTGAAAAATGGTTTCAAGTTGAACAAGATGGTTTGTATTCAATTGAATCCATATCTTTCACAGGATGAATTTTGCACGACTCGTGGATTCTTTTGTGAGGGGAACTGAACTTCCATGTTTTACACATCATAGAATTTCTTTGATATTACGCACTTCACAGATTCGATAGATAACAGCCCAAGTCGAGCAATCATATTGTAAGATCTGATCTTATATGATCTTGCACGATCATACGAAAATCATACAAAAAATCGTAGTCCCTGAGATCTTAGATCAGGTCGAACGATCAGATTCTTCAAAGATCGTATTAACGTGTAAGCTCTTTCAAGAATGTGATTGTGCGAATTGATCTAAGATCTCAGGAACTACGATTTTTTTGGTCAGATTCTTGTAAGATTTCGCCCCTATTCCAAGATCTTGTGTCAGATTTTTCGACCTGGGACATGTTGATATGCACTGACTGACTAAGGCATTCGCACTGGTATTGTTTTCTCCAAAAAAGAGATGAATACATCTTACAATGGATAAGATTGTTTCCTGAATTAAAATCTTCGCTATGAATAAAAGCAAAACGTTTTCTTTAATTCAATTGTTTTCCTCATTTATACACAGAATACTTGGTAAAATATCAATTGCTTCAAGTGCGATAGGAGTCTTATTGAGGTGAAACAATGGCGACAATAGAATAAGATTAAAGTGTAAATGTAAAAAAAAATAGTAATATGTCTGTATTGTTGCTATTTATCAATAAATAGCGTACCATTGGGAGATTTCTGTAAACGGATGATAGATTTCATAAAGTTGACACATTGGTAATACAGATGGCTATTCATATTTTGATCAGAAAATTCCATAGAGATTATCAAAATGAAAGCCGCATAGAATCGAATCTGAAAGTTTTAGCTTGTAAAAATTCCAATTAACGAGCCTGCCTTACTAACAAGAACGATTCTTAGTTGGATCTATTTTTTTAGTTTCTCGTGCAAAATTACAAAATATATTTCAATCATCTACAGCACATCAAAGTGTTTATGAACGTATGCTCGAGCGAAATCCAGACGAAATAAAAATAAGTGAATGTGCTGAAACATTCTTAACACTTCTTCATGCAATGGAAGGTAAAAAGAATTAAATTTTTCAGAACTATCATTAATTTTAAATTCTATTTATTTAGATCGTTATCGTCATGTACCATATCCATCTTGTACTCTTCGTTTATTTTCTTTACAAGTCGATTTACTTGACCAATTTCTAAACGATCTAAAAGATTGTTTACACAATGAACAGCAAGATATTGACCCGCTATCAAAATATTTTTGTTCAATACTGAATTCAATTGTTTATGTAGCGGATGTTATTCAACAATGGAAAAATCGTTCAGTAAGAATTCATATTATCTTTTATCGAACTATTCTTCATTGTACTGGAAGTTTCCGAAGACCAGTTAAACAAAAAAGATTCCGAATAATTCCTGAGCTCGACATTGATGTTTGTGTTTTTGAAATACAGAATATGAGCGTTTCCTAGTCCCGCTATATATCTGCAGCTTCCAATAATTATTCTATCGGCTGTTGTTCGCGACATAAAGCAATACACTGAATACTAAATACAATCTTAGTTTTACAAATACCATGATTTTCTTCTCTAACATTTATGTAACACTATCGATTTTCTACAGTTTTACTTATCCAGAAGATCAAATTGTATAGGAGAAAATGAAATTTTCGGAATGATTGAAAACCTATGCATATTTGTATATTTATTCATGCTTTCTTATTGTTTCATAGCACTATCAACGTTTACAATATTTCCATGAAGAATATAAAATTTTTATTAAAAATAATGGCATGGATAACTTTGCGGATAAAAATTCGAATCAAATTGATATTGATTCAACATTAGCTCAACAGTTTGATTTAATACAATTAAATAAAAAGAATGATTTAATACCAGCATCAATATTCGATCATTTACTTGAACAATATCGTGATGAAGAAGAAAAAAATTGTAGTATCATTGTCAATCATATTGTCAGTACACTTAAAGCAAAAAGTCGACGATACATCAATGAAAAGTAATTAAACAATATTTACATTTTGAATATTAAAAAAAAACGCAAAATTCATTTTTTCTTCTAGATGGTCAGCAATGCCCAACCCTAAAGATTATTTTAGTATGAATATCTCTTCATCGGCTATAGATGTCTTATTAGAATTACAAACAACTTTTGCTAATTTATCAATTAATCTTTTAAAAAATGTTTCCAATGAAATACGTGCCAGAGTTATTAAGCAATTTGATGAATATTTGTTTAATAGGGTATGAAGAATTGATTCCATTCGAGGTATAAATAAGAACGAAATTTTAATTTTCATAGATTATAAATGACTATACATTTAATGAAGGTGGTGCAGCACAATTTCTTTTCGATATGAATCGAGGATGGTCTCGTATTGTCAATGATCATTTCTCACAATTATTCAATAAGTAAGAGAAATAGATAAGATACCGACAAGTGAAAGTTGTTTTTGTTACGGTTGAATACAATTCCTCGAGTTACACATTAAAAAGCTTGTTAACGCAGCCCCTTTGTGGCTAAAATGTGAAACTCACATATTTTCCCTTCGGCTTACTAAAATAATTCAAAATAGTTCATCTGAAAAATCTACCTTGATTTTCAAAACCTATAATTAGGTCAGTACCTATTTGTTTATGTCTTTAATGGAGTATTAATTGTTAGCTCATATATTTAAGAATGGCAGAGACTAGTTTCCATGATCTGTAATGATACCCTAAGCTCGTTACTATGGTCTGTAATGAGTAAGCATTGCTTTTTTCGTGTAGTCTGTAATTAAAAAAAGAAGAAATAGCAGTCTAATTAGTCGAGCTCCTAATTAGCACAATTTTTAACTTATTAATGCGTCTGTAATGGGGAGGGAGATGGGGAGCCGCAAAAATCTCGCTTTCAAACTAACACCGACGATTTTCTTCGACAGTATATGTGAGTTCCACACCCAAATTTGTTTTTAAAATAGCCAAAGTATCTTTTTTTACTATCGAATTCTTTCAAAAGCATCAAATATTAGCAGTTTGATGTTACTGAACTGTTGAAATAATCCATGTTTTTTTATCAACAAATAAAACATTTCTGATGAGAATACGTATGCAAAGATGTTCATCGTGCAAATTCAGTTCGTAAACGAAATTCTAATAGTATTGCTCTTTGAATACGAACTCGTATAATATTTTACGCTCGTTGTAGTAAAAACAATTTTCTTTAATCTTCATATAAATATTTTTAATTTTCTTAGATGTCGTGAATCTGCTTTACTTCTCACAATGCCAATTGGTTCTGCTCTTTTATTAGTTGATGCTCTACAACAAGATTTATCACTAGCATCGCTGACAGATTCATCCTCAAAAGATCCTATAGTATCATCTCCGCTGCCTTCTGCTCTACACGAAATGGGTATTCATAATTTAAGTGAATTCGAAGCCGATCAAGTATTACAACGTCGGCGTGATCTAACTAATTGTTGAACTGTTTAAATTTGGGTTTTCCCTTTTTTTTGTTTGCTCTCTTTTCTTTATATTAATGCAATAAAACAAGATACTAGTCAAACAATATTAACCAAAATTGCGCAATGTTGGCCTGCATTAGCAATGGCTAGCGTACGCGTACTTGGTTCATAATCAAGTCCTTGCGGTCCGTAGAGCAAATCGGCTGTTGACAGTTCAATAATACGTATAAAGGAACCTTGACGATCGAATACTTGAATACGATTATTACCCCAATCCGACACAAATATATAACCTCGTTCATAATCAATAGCTAAACCAGTTGGAGCTTGAAATAAACCATTTTTCGTTCCTACTGAACCGAAACTTGTTACGAACTGTCCATGACGTTCAATATCAAATATTTTTACACAATTATTATAGAAATCTGTTACAATTATATTTCGGTCATTATCTTGTTCAGCGAATTTAACATAATGTGGACCAGCAAGTTCATGTAGTTCAGATCCACGTGTTCCAAAACGATGTGAAAGTACGCCAGATGAATTGAATAGACATATACTATTTGCTTTATTATCAGCTACCACAATAGATTGTGATTGATTAGATATACAGAGTCCTTTGGGACCTATAAGCGATTGTTGACCGAATTTCTTTAATAATCTTCCATTTCCATTTTCGTCTATAGTCCAACTACTAATCAAATGTTGATCATAATCAGCTACGAAGCATGTTGAGCTATTGTTCAATGAATTCGACAAGCCGATAGGACGACGAAGTGCATTGTGCTTCGAATTCACGGGTGATAAAAATGAGCCCGTACATAAACCAGTATCTAATGAAAAAAGTTGTACATTCTGATTGATTGTATCGGATACAAGAATCGTTCGAGCAGGATTTGTAGTAATTAATACATCTTGGGGATTACTAAATTGTCCTTTTTGTCGTCCACGTTTTCCAATAGTTTGATAATTATCGTTACTATTGCTATTGTTGTTGTCTTCGATTTTTGTCGGTGCTTTGACTGTTGTTTTCCTCATAGGTTGCTGATGTAATGTTGAAGTACTGTAAAAGGAGAAAAAAAATCGATTGTGAAGTATATTTTTGATGCTCTTCTTTTTTCCTTCTTCTTGGCTTACCTGCACACGCCATGTAGCATTGACGTCGAATTAGTCACTAATAGGTATATAAAAAAGACGGAGAGAGAGAGAGAGAGAAAGAAGGCAGAAAAAAGTGATTAAATGCCATAAGTATACACACTGACTCACAACGTTGAATGTTGTTCAGAGATGTTGATATTGTTAAACGTCCAAAATTATTGATGGCTTCTTCGAGTCGTCTTTGATGGATTGGAGAAAAAACAAGCGGAGTTCCACCTGATTTTATGAAAAATAGAAAAAAACATGACATAAAATTTGTTTTTCTCCTTGTTTTCTACGACTAAATTTACTATTTTTACGAGAATGAAGCAGTGAAGTTGAATGAATATTAACTTGTCGATTTAGTTGTTGAAAACGTTGATCAAGTCGTAAATGCATTTTTTCAAATGTCTCGTTCATTTCGCTACCGATATTCGTATTTTGCTTTGCCATTTTTTTCTGAATAACAAGCAAATATACTCGTTTCTCTTATTTTCTTCTATTAGTGAAATTTAATCGAGTGAGAGATGCACCATCTGATTTATTTTTTTTGCAGTGCCACTGTTGTTGTTGTTGTTGTTTATGGGAAATATTCATTTTTCTATATGATACTATGGGTGTCAGATGGTTGATGGCAGGGCTCAGTCTTGTATCGTCTATCAAACAATAGTCAATGTGCCAATTTAATCCGAGTAAAAGAATCTTTTTATAAATTTCTGTGGTCAATATCTCATGAATCTGATTTCACTATTGAATAAATGATATATTCATGTTTTCCACTGATGCTCAGCTTTTCTTATAATTGTAAATTTAATGACGAATTCACTCGATTAATTTATAGTATATTTTGTTCTTTTTTTCAAATTTTTTATATATTATATCTGTCCGACAGGTATAAAGAAAATCAATGACAAGAAAATATGTACGCTCATAGAAAAACACCTGTATTTTTCTTCTATACTACTTTAACAAGGAGTTATAGAATTAAAATTAATTTTATCTTTTGCCAGCTCATCAAAATGATCTATAGATATCATGGTAGAAATTATTTTCAATAAAATAAAAAATTTCTTGATGTTATCATATGTGAGCTTGTATTTTAATTTTCTCTATTGACAAGCATGAAAGACTACAAAAATCGTATGCAGCAACGTTTATCACGAAAGAAATTTTCTATCAAGCAGTACAAAAACATGCTTTTTCGTAGTATGCTTTTATAACGAAGGGTAAGGTTTGGCATGCCACATTAATAACTTAACATGATTTATTATGATGAGACTAACACATATATAAGAAACTATCAATCGTATTGAAAAGCACAGTAGTACATCATCGTCTTCAACAACCAAGGTTTGTTAATGGCATATTTCGATTTTACCACTGAAATAAAATTTACGCTAAACAATAGAGATAAGCTATAGAGAAAAATGATTCCTGTCGTAAGTAACTGATAGTTCGACATTGATTTAATCGATTAGATTCTGATCATCCTAAATTCTCTCAAACGAACAGTGATTGTTTTTATTTCGCGTCATGTAATTAAGTTGTGGTTCTTGTGGTGCAATCTATCCGTTTCGATTTTTGTGATTCATGACCAGAAAAATTGCCAATGATGTAATTATATTTTCAATTTATCGAAATTTTTTATCATTATATCGATATATTTAAAATAGAATAAAGAATGAGAATAATGTGCATCGATGAAAGTGAGTGTCTTTTTATAAGATGAGTCAAAATGAAAACTAAAGACATGGTTACAACTGGAAAAACAAATAGTAAACAACTGTATGAAGAACAGAAAGGAAAACGCTGCTTGCTGTGTTTGGCATGAAATGTCAGTTTGCGTTTTTTAAATTTTCGTTAAAGGTTTATTTTTAATTTTCACTGATCTTATGATTTTGCACTCACCAAATATTTCGAATAGAAATACATTTTATTGATGCACAGTATACTCTTATTTTGTATCTATAATTTTATTGAAACTTCGATAGCAATTGCAATATAGTTGTATACCGAAGCAAGTTTTCTTCATTAAATTATGTTGGGAATTTTTGCCAAGATAGTTTGAGTCGAGATATATAACCCATTGTATTATTACGTTATTACTGCATATTTTTACGCAATATCATCACTTTCATCCATATGCTTTTTACTCTTTCTTTCATATTTGTGCATACTTTTAAGCAAAAAACTGACTTCTCATTTTCATTTAACCACGTTCGCTGTCAATATTGAATATTTTCTGTTCTCTGTTTTTATTTTTCGTAGGTACGTAATAATATTAAGCATACGATTTTTATTGACATCATAAAATTAAAAAGATAGCAATATATAAATAGTGCCACATTACGCACAATCTTAACGGTAGAATTAATAGCAATGGCAGAGGAACAACATTGTGGAAAATGTAGAAAAGCTGTTTGCGTTGCAAAGTGTCATGGATGTAACAAATCATTTTCTATGTCACATTTTGTAAAACATCGACTACATCTCGCTCAACAGATGGATAATCTTCAAGAAAAATTTGAATTATTACAAAACGATATAAATAAAGATAATTTTAAGCAATCACTTCTGTCAAATATTTATGATTGGGAACAAAGATCAATGAGAAAAATTCAGGAAATTGCCGAAAATGCGCGAAAAGATGTTGAGGAAAAATTACTGCCGCTAAAAATGGATGTTGAAATTTCAATCAGACAAATCACAAGAGACTTTCAAACATATGCAGACGCAGATAATTACACAGAATTTGAACTTGAAAAATGGGCTAAAAGAATATCTGATCTTCGATATTCAGTTGAGCATCCATCTAAAATAGAAATTGTAGAAGATAATAAACTTTCGTCAACAATTTATGGAATTAAAATTATTGAACAAAACCGACAACAACAATCATTATGTACAAACTCCATATCAGAAACAGATAGCTACACTTCAGAACAATCGATGGAATTGATTCCGGAATATTTTGTACCAATGTATGGACCGTGTAGATTATCCGAAGACAAATATGTTGTTGCACATTTAAGTTATCGTGCTGGACTATCACAAATCACTGGTTCAAATAATTATTCATCTGGAAAACATTCGATTTCATTTCTAATTGAAAAAAAAGGCATTAAAAATGTGTTTATCGGCATACATTCAGCATCAAATGAAGCTTCTTTTCCATTCGATCGTTCGATTTATGGATGGTGGAATCTCGATTATGTTATTATTAATGGTGAACATGAAGGTGGAGATGATAATTTAGTAATTCAAACAGGTGATAAAATAACATTAACAGTAGATTGTGATAATCTACAAATTCATTTCGAACATCATCGGACTCGAAAAATTTGTAATATTCCTATAGAATTGAACATGTGTCCGTTTCCTTGGCGAATACTAATAAGATTATTGATGCCAGGTGATTCCATACGTATTTTTAATTAATTTTTTAATAGTTTTTTTTTGTAAAATATCATTTAAAAAATCTGTGAAAAAATATAACGAAAATTGGTCCATTTCGTCTGCAAACTAATGATAAATACTGTTCGGTATATACGCCAGAAACGAATTCTCAATAGTAGCTATCAACAAGTATCTGAATAGCACATCGTCTCCATAGAACTCCTTTTCCTATTCTAATTGAATCCAACCATTACGAAGAATTTCATTGCAAAAAAGATAAAAAATCTTCTTGTGATATCAAACATAGTTTTATTACTCATTGTCATATTGGCATGAATCACGGCAAACAAACTCTTTCATGAGGTAGAACTTACGTTAGCGAGTAAACTTTTAACATTGAAAAGAATTACTCATGAAAGAAATACAACGTTGGCTCGTCATGAATTTACAGGATACTGATAAGATAACAATAAAATACAAATTGAAGATAATTTCTATCAAAAAGTGATGTTAAGTCAGGTGAAATAGATATCAATAGAAATATATTTCATTGTAAAATAATATGATATGTGATCCATCGTTTTGTTATTGATAGAAGTTAAGATGTTAATCAATCACTATACTTGATCATACAATTCAAAAATCATTGACAGGTTTACTTAATATATATATATATGTGTGCGCAACTTGTTAGTTTCACAAGATATCAGATTTCTTTTATGAAAAACATTAAAAACAATGTGCTTCTTTTATTGTAGTTCTTGTATTTAGTATATAGAATCTTCGGCATGCCCTAGAATAGAGAACGTGGCAGCACATTAACTGACAACAGCGACGCCACTCATAAATCAGAAATAGAAACAGAAAAAAAATCAGTTATGGCATTTTTACTCTGTCCGTAACTAAGTGATGCTAAGAGGCATGAATGGCTGATTGTTACAATAAAACATTAAAAAAAAGAAGAAGAAATTCTCTATATTCAATCGTTGCTTATTTCGCTTTGTAAAAAAAATGAATCGAACCAACTCTGGGCGTCGTCCAGCGCCAGATCCAAATTCAATTGAAGCAAAATATTTAACATCTACTGTTGGTAAGTTTTTAATCATGAATTTCGCTTTTTCTTTTAATCTATAATTAATTTCTAATTACAGGACCAGCATTAATTCGGGGCTTATCAGAGATTGTTGAACGTCGTCCAAATGATCCGATTGAATATTTAGCTACATATCTCTATAAGCAAGCGGAAAATACACGCGCACAAAAAAAAGTAAAATTCAATTTTTGCGGCTTTTGTGTTTTAACTAAACTTAAACTAAATCTTCTGCTATTTTTCGAATAGAAAGAAGACGATGTAAAACAATTAGAACTGGAACGGCAACAAGTTGAAGAAGAAAAATTACGTCGTGCTCAACTTAAAAGTGAAATTCGAGCTCTACGTGAAAAAGAAGAAGCTGAACAAAAACAACGTGAAATTGAAGAAAGACGTAAACGAGAAGCTGAAGAATTAGCTAAACGGTAGACAAACAAAAAAAGAAATAATATTTATTTCATAGAACATGAATCGTTGCCTATAGACATAAGGAATTAGCAAGTCAACCACCGGCATTACCTGCTGTACGCGAAGAAGATGATATATTTGTTGTTGAATTTGGTGAAACAGAACTTCATCGACAAGCTGCTGTTAAAAGTTAATAGAAAACAAAGCAAACGAATGATACATTTCTTTGAAATACATATATTTTTCAGATGCCAATCTCTTGGAATTGCTTCGAGATAATTATCATTCAATTGCATCACGTAATGCTGACGGGAAAACACCACGTGACGTTGCACTTGACGCTGGTTTTCAAGAAAATGTTGAACAAATTGGTTCGTAAAAACACTGTTGTTTTCTCTATATAAAGGAAAACAAAATCTTTCATTTAGATTCCTACTGTATTCTGTTACTTCAAAATGGAAATACAAAAGCTATTAATGATTTAGTTTTATGTGGCTACACAGAGATCATTAATCAATTAAAAACAATTGAAGATAGTGATGAAGATACAAATGAATTCATAAATGTTGACATACCTCAATTATTGGTAATGAATAACTACTGCAAATATTGATCATTTCGAATTTTCACAGTAGTCGTAATTTACGTAAAGAATTTAAATAGAGACTCGAAAAAAGGAATATTTTATTTCCAGGAAACACAACCTTTTCAGTATTTTATCAAAGTGAGAATCGTTTGTAGAAGACTCATTTCTCTGTATCGTTAAAATTCGCAGTACTAGTTTTATAGAGACTCAGCAAATTCACAAGTGCCTAGAAGAACCAAAGGTTTTGATGTCAGCGTACACATTGAATTAAATGTCAACATGAAAAATTCTTTCACATCGACTTTCTTTTTCTAGGAAAAAGTAAAACAATTACAACAAGCAATTAAAGACGGAGATACACAAACAGTTGACACGATGATGTCCGATCGTAAAAACATTGCACTTTATCGAGATGTTGAAGGTTCATCATCATTACATAATGCTATTGACAATCGTCAATATGCAATAGCATTGAATCTCTTGCAAAAATATCCATCATTAGCGCTAGTTAAAGACATTGTAAGTCGAAATAAATCTTAATGAGAATATGTAAATGAATATATTCGAAAATTTTTAGCGTGATCGATCAAGTCTCGATTTACTTAATTCAATTGACGAAGATAGTGTGAGTGATGATCAACGTGAAATGTATGATCAACTGAAAGATGCATTAATAGCAACATCGGGAAGTCACCAAATGGATTAAAATGAACTATTTATTTGTTTGATGAATTCTTTCCTTCTTTTTATTTCTTATTCACAATTAAAAAAAAGAACTTGTATCTGAATTGACACAGACGTGATGAGCAAAAGCTCATGCAAGTATATAGAAAAAAATTGACAATAACACAAACAAAGAGATTACATAGATTCAATTGCCTGTTACTTTAGGTACGAATACTAGAGCAAGAAGACCACCAAGTACAATTGCAGATATTGAGGCAATTAGCAGGATTAGGCAATATTCTAAATAGATAATTAAAAATTTACTTTTTCTGAGATTAGTATTCGTGATAAATAAAATAAAAACAATAAAATAGGGATTATTTTGAACCTTTGCTGAGCTATATTTTTTCTTTTACTATCACGAATAAAGGTCAGACTATAACAGCACGTATAGAATAATGGAAAAGAGGTAATAATTAAGACGGGAACAAAACGGAACAAACATATTAGTTTATTCGGTGATTTATAAAATTCCGATTAGAACAATCAATTACACAATAAAGACTCGGTAAACATGAAATTAAAATGGGTAGGGAAATTGTTCATAATGCAACATGTTTATCTGGGATACCGTAACTCGTTAGGGAGCAGGTAGGAACCAGGGTACTGTAAAAAGAAATATTTCAAGAGGGAAAAACAAGTTGTATGATCTTATTTGCTTACTCTAACAAAACTTCAACAATTAGAAAATCTCTTATTGAAAAATTCATAAAAAAAAGAAACCTTTGAACAATGTATTTAACCATGGAAAACTTTTGTTAGAGAAACATCAAAACGATGAGATAATTTATCATGTTGTTTTTATAGAATAAGAGGAAAAAGTAGAAATAGTTATGTAAATTGACTGAGCGTAATGTTTGAATTTTTTCTACATTGAAGGAAACGGAATGCTGAATAAATATTTAAAAAAAACTATCAAGTCAGAATGATAAATGACCACCAATAAAGTCTAGATTATAATCGATTCTCTGATAACTAATTCTGGGCGTGGTAGCAAACAAAGTTTTCTGTGAATATCGGAAGTTGACGATGCGTGAGTAATTATTCAAAATGATTTCATTTGTAATATCCCTTTTGTAAAGATTTTGATATCTACTTAGAAGCATTGCTAACCAAATAACAGTGATAAATCTGGATAGAGTTAGAACAAACAGATCTCAAAACATGTTTTCTCTATCAAATAGGGTAACACTTCTATTTATTATTAATTTCCTAAGAACAGTCGTATAATCTCTAATTTCACGACAATTGCCCGAGATCCAATTATTGTAGGAATACGAATGAATATTTCTATACGCTATTCTTGACTAACTAGGCTGCAGTTTGATTTTAGTACTATCTCTATCCAAAGGGTGTACTACCCTGGAAGCACATATCGAATCATGTTTCATTTGTTATCTTTAAACAAGACAAGTTATACTGAAGAATAACTCTTTGCAGCTGTGTTTGATAATTTCAAATTCGATAGCTCGAGAATCTGAATGGTTTCTATAAAACTTACTATCTTCCCAAAAGAATTTATCATGCATTTTATGTGCCATATTTTTCATTTTTTCAGCATCACGAAATAAATCTGTTGATCTCATATCGAGTTCTTCAAGACGGATGTTTCTAACTAAAGTTCTTTCGTATGTATCTGCAATAATACTCATTAATCTATCAACTTTATCTTGTGCTTTGGCAATTTGTTTTTCATCAATAGGTGTTGGTATTTGTCTATGAAGTGTTCCTTGATCGCCACCACCAACCACAACAACACTGTCATTAACATACGTCATATTATTAGATAATTGATTAGATTCATTAAGAGGCATTTCTATCTGTTGTTGTTGTTGTTGTTGTTGTTGTTGCTTATGATTATCATAATGATTGAATAGATTAACAATGTAAGAAGATTTTTTATATTTCTTAAATTGATTTTTTTTTCGTAATCGAAGACGGAAACAGAATTTCATCGATCATCTGTCAATGTCTATTCACCAATTTATATATACATAATACGAATTTAAATAGCCTTGTGCGCGCCTCTTACCTATCTTTAGTCCCGCTTTATTCTTTTCTTTTACTTACAAATTATATACTTGCATCTATTCGTGTCCTATGTTTTGTATCTTTATATCATCATCATCTTCATCAGTTGTTTGATTTCCTCGAGAGAAGCTTTACTTTAGGATCAATGAAAAGAAAAAAGAAAGAAAAGAAAAGAAAAAACCCAAAGGCCATCCAATAAGATATTCGATGATATAAAATTGATGAAAGAAAAGAATCTAATCGTTTGTCATTCTTAAAAAGACATGAACGAAAGTGAACTTCGAAGTGAAGATTCTCTACAATCAGTTAAATATTTAGGTAAAACACCATCACCCTATTCACATGGAGTAGGCATAGCGATTGTAAGTAAACAGTTTGTTTTGGATTTTCTCCAAATGAAACTCATTTTTATTTTTCAAGGAACCTGCAAAAACTCTATGGAAACGAACCAACAAAGGTTCACAGTATAATCGTTGTGCTATATCAATAGATCGATTTGGTTTATGTATATATGAAGAAATAGCGAATGGAACATATAAAATAGCTTGGACCGATGCCATTGAAAATATATCCTATTGTGTTGCTGAACCTTTACATCGTCGTCTATTCGCATGGATTTCTCGTTCACCAATTTCTACTCAACTTGAGTGTCATGTTGTACTTTGTAGAACAAGTAAACAATCACGATTACTTACTGAATTATTAGCACGAGTATTCTATGAATCTTATCGCTCTGTACAAAAACGACCAGTTGATTTAACACCAAATCTATCAACACGTTGTTCGGTATGTGATACTATAGTGCGACAACAGCAATTAAATAATAACTCTTTTTCATATCGAAATCATCCCGATCAACGATCGTTTAATAATTTTGAAGACAGACAACAAATTGATAATTATGAACAGAATGAACTTAATGGACCTATGGTAGCTCGAGCCGTTGTAAGAAATTATGAAGATGCTTCAATACATAGTAGTAGTCGTCAAAGTTTTGATTACGATTCAATATTATCCGATAAAAGATCAATTAAACCATCGGAATATTATCGAAGATAGATATTTTAAAAATGAATAAATCTTCTGTTATATGTTGATTTATGTATTAGAAACAAGGACAAGATTCACCATCGATAGTAACGCATTGCTAAGCTCATATGACATTTTTCTTTTCGCCGTACTTCGTTATTCTATTCTTTTTTTTCTTTTTTTTCATAATTCTTATACTCGAAACGACTGAATATGTATATATGTCAAATCACCTGTGCAAAGTGAAACGCCTACAAAAGCTGAATTGATATTTTAAATAAATAGATCAGAATTAGCTTTTTATATACGTAGAATAAAAATGAATAGGATCATTGAATGACTTAAACAAAAAAAAGTCAAATGTTTCACATAGGCTAATACTTGATATTCTAAATGAAAACCCAAAAGGTTTTGATTAAGTTCACATGTTGAATAATTGGTTAGTGAATTCAATTAATCGCTATCTCTTGATCACATACAGTTTTATCATTCGTACAGACATAGTAAACAAAAAACGATATATATAACCTTGCGCTGGCTTTCTATTGTTATTAATAGCACATAATATCAGTGTACCTAAAAATGGTTATAATAGTTCTACCATTGATATTTAGGGGCGTCTATGTAGATCGTAAAGATTAATGAGATTTTGTTTGATTATATGTTGGCGAAGGTTCTTGTTCTAATAATTCATCGTTCTTTATGTACCAAGGAAAAGTGTTAACTTTCTACATGTTGTCAATATGAATAAATTACAAGTGGTGCTAAGATTGAGATTTAAGTTGAAGTTACCTCATTAGTTTTTTTTTCAGGGTTGGCTATTTTGCACGGGTTTTATGTGTTACTCCTCTATATATATCTGACTTCCATTTTCATTGAGTTATAGAGCTTTCAATGTGACAAATTCGCGTTTTCATCGAAGTACGTGCTACAAAACCGAACAGAGAGAAAGGAAAATCATAATAATGAATAACTCATTTTAGGCATATTTTTTCAAAGCACATAGCCTCCACACTTTTCCCTCTCGTTTCTCACAATCATTCGCGTTCAATATTCACTGTCTTAAATGGAGTATTTCATTTTAAAATTTTGAGTTTCATTCAAACCCGCGCCGTAAAATAATATGATCGAGTGCAAATATACATATGAGAAAATATTCTTACAACTTACTTTGAACTTCAAAATTGATTTCAATTGATAAAAAAAATTCTTCTAAAATCATTAAATAATCAGCTTCAAGAAGAAAACTCTATCGAAGATACAGTTCGTACTGAAGAAACTATTATCGAATTTTTTTGTATAGTATATGTAGTGAAATATTTCCCGATAGATTTTTAGTTAGTCATCAGCGAAAAGAATTTCTTTAGATAAAAAAATGAATCCACATACGTATCTTTACATGTGTTTTGAAACCTAGCGCCACTTTTGCAAAGTTCTGTTTAATTTCTTTTCTTCTGTAAATTTAAAAAACAAACAAAATTCAACTAGAAAAAAAAAGAATTGGAAATGCATGAATGTTTCATCTACGCTTTATGTTGATGATATGGCAAGGGAAACAATGTTAGTACAAGATGATTCGAAAAAACAAATAATTTCAATCGACCGAATACAATCAGAAATGGCGCAAGTACACATATATATTGTATCCAACCCCATTTAAATTGTTGCCAAAATCCTGGTGTATATAGAATTGCTTGTCTTCCAATATTAACAACAACATTAATTGCTACCGTATTCGCAACAACTGTCGTTTGAGGTGTTATCCATGTATATTGCGTTTCATATGATGTATAATATTTTCGTGTAAAATACTCATCAAGAATCGATTGAAGATCAGGTGTTGATGTTGAACTTGTTGCATTAATAATTGCTTTATTATATGTATTGTCAGAGCCAGAATCTCTTACTGTTTGTCGTTGCTCAAATATTAGTTGACCATAAACAGTTAGATTCTTATTATTACTTGGAGTAAATGTTGAAGGTGGAACAATATTTATAAGTGCCATTGTTTCCATATTAACGAGTTGTTTATCACTTAATTCATATTCAAATATTAACCAAATATTAATATTACGAATAACAACACTCGTCTGTGGAAAAATTAAATTAAATGATATACGAAATTGATCAAGTAAACCGTCACCATCAATGTCATATGATGATTCAGTTTCATATCCAGAAAGAAGCACGTCTTTCAAATTGTTATTCAATGTTGAATAAGATGATAGAAAAAAATTATAATTATTCACATTATCATTATCAACTATAAGAATATATTTTGTTCTATTACTAAGACGTGGTTGTTCACTATAAACAGATTCTTGTGTCCAAAATTCACCTGTATAATAAGTTAATAAAAATGGTGGTAAGTAAGTTAATGCTAGACATGAAATAAAAACGAATGTTGCACCCGATATTAAACGAGCGCGATATGAAAATCGATCTGGATGAGAGAATAATTCATAGGAATTCATTTTTTCTATGAACTTTTGTTATTTTTTTGTGAAATAACAATACGAATACGAGTTAAATGAATTTACGCCATAAGAAATGACCATTACTTGGTAGAAACCTCCGCATTTTGGTGACTTAAATATGATTGGCTCTTATTTTGACAGCTACATAACACACCTTAGCAATATTAATAATAAGGAAGAAAGTAGTTCAGCGAAAAGAGAGAACGGCGAAGAAGATGACAAATATGATGGCGTCATCTGGTTACAAAACTCGGATGAAATAAATGGATATGAATCAGAAAACAAGAGTTTTCTTCCAGAATGAACTTTCATTTCTCCAACATCATACAAATATATATATATATATATATATATTAAGCAATTTTTACTTCATGCATTTTAGAAATTGACATTTTCTTTTGGCAGAGCATGACAGAAGACTTATACTTCGTAGGCATGTAGAGGAAGTGCAAAGAACATATTTGTAGTGCATTTTTAGTGCAAATCAAAAGATTTTATTTATTTTCTGTCGAATTATTTTGATTTGGTTGAAGCAATATTTATTTTCTATCATATCTTTTACATAACCTTTTTCTTTTTCGTTTGCTTTTTCTGATTAAAAAGAAAAAGCAATGGTATCTATCAGTACGAAGGTAGAAACATCGAGAACAAAGCCAGATTACGATAGTCGCTTCTCATGATGACTGCAAGGTTGTTTCTCGTTTCGCTGCATTTTGTTTGCATCAAAATAAAAGCATCAACTGCGCAGATATCGAAAATAATAGTTTGGTATATTTATTGTTCTATTCATAATATGACATTGATGTATTATATAAGTAATATTTGAATACAAGTAAGTAATAAAAATGTATCGCCATGCCTCTTTAACATAAAAGCTTAGACGTTTTGATAATAGAAGTGCTGAAATGATATACGCATTTCATTATCCTTGAAAGCTGTTCGGCCAACGTCGATTGGAAAAATTTCTCCTTTCTTGGAAATAAAACATGACATACGATTTAATCTTATAATTAAATAGAGTCATTATTAGCAGATGTTTTTAATCGATTCTTATTTTCATATTTTCTCTTTTTTTCTCTTTTGCAGATATATTTATATATATATTTCATTTGTTTATGCCGTCACACTTGACTCGACTGTGCGTTGAAAATATTGTTGCTATCAATGATCCGAATGAGCGAATTTGAATGTAACCAATCGTCATCATCATCGAAACAATTATCACCTTTTATTCATCAAGTAAAATAAGAAAAAGCTAAATTTTTTACTCCTACGAGTTTCTTTGATTTGTATTGCTATAGGTTGGCGGTCATTCGTCGATGTTTCAATATGATAAAAATACTATTTGTAAAATACTTGCACCATCTGAATTAGATTTTTATCAATCAATGCCTGAATCATTAAAAAACTACACATCGAAATTTCGAGGTTAGAGATTGTTATTTTCGGTCTATAGAGGAAAACATGAATTTTCGATTTATGATAGGCATTGTAACAGTTCAATATTGTGAAGATGAATCAGGCTTGATAAAACTTGTGGCTCAACGACAAAAAAACTCATTCGATGACGATTCACTACCCGATGAACAAGATGTGCCTTCATCAAATGATCCACAATCATCTGATAGTATGGCACGAAAAAATGTACAGTGCGTGTCAATAACAACAATAGTTTTATTTATAACTTAATATATATCTGCGTCTTTAATTTGATAGATTACGCTGCTCAAAAGATGGATCTATTGATTATTCCAATAGTTTAGGTATTGATATTGCTAATTATGAACAAGGAAAAACTACCATGTCAGCAATTAATCCTTGGAGTTTACAATTGTGCAAAAAACAAGCTGAAAAATTACATAGTCAGTTAGTTGGCGACGAAAATGTTTCTGTTTCACAGAGTAAGCATGTTTACAGATGTCTTGCGTTCTTTTTTCTTCGGTAAACAAAAAATGTACTGTAAGAATAATTTTGGAATTTTTCTGTCAATAGAAGGCTCGTTTAAAAGTTCCCAATGCCCACGTATGATGCAAAAAATATATAATTCCAGGTGGTACTGTGAAGTGACACTTGATAGAGTAGTGACGATGGTAAACGAAGATTCACCAATTTGATTTATTGTATGATAAATAAGAAAAAGATAGATAAAATGCAAATAGATGAAGTGGATGATTGTAAAAAAAAGAAATAATAGTAAAAAAAAAAGGTAGAATCATTAGTTGAGCACAGATAATGTATGTATGAAGACGAAAGAGTGAAATATCTTGAGTATGTTTGATAGAGCTGATCGGATGAGGGTTAAGCGTCTTTTTTTCTTCGTAAATATTGAGAGAAAAAAAGTAACAATTTTCTGAAGGCAACGAGTAATTCTGACTTCAAACGCGATCAACATTAGATATAAGTAAAGGATTAAATGACATAAAAAGAACAAACAAATGCAAAAACAATGTGAGAACAGAGACAATGATTAAATGGATTCATTTTTAATCAGTTGATAGTATTTTACTAGAAAAGAATATTAGTAAATTAGTATAATTAATGACATGAATATTGTAGAATACCAAAAAAAAAGTAAAATTTCGTTTTTCTATTGCCTTTTTAGAATATATACTATTAGAAAATGTGACAGCACGATTTCATAATCCCTGCATACTTGATTTGAAAATGGGTAAAAGACAATATGCTGATGTTGATTCTGATAAAAAGCGGCAATCAAAAATAAAAAAATGTGAATCCTCCACATCATCAACATTAGGTGTTCGTTTATGTGGCATGCAAGTAATTTCGATATAATTTTAGAATAAAATCAAAATTCTATTTTATCGAATTCTCTTAGGTCTATCAAATTGATAGTCGTCGATATAAATTTACAGATAAATATCGAGGACGTGTGTTGAATACTGAAGAATTTTGTTCGTCATTAGTTCAATATTTTGATAATGGTAGCACACAACGTTTTGATGTTATATCTGGAATTATTGAACAATTAGAAGCATTACATGGAATAATTAGTTCCTTAGTTAAATATCGTTTTTATGGTGGAAGTCTTTTAATTGTTTATGATGGTTGTGTTAATTCAAAATGTATTGATGTGCGTATGATTGATTTCGCTCATACAATATCTGCTAAAACAAACAATGATGAATCATCAATGTGTCATAGTGGTCCAGATGAAGGTTATCTACATGGACTTGAAAGCTTAATACGAATTTTTCGAGACATATTCAACAATGACGGTAAAAATACAGTAGGAATTGAACCTGAAAACTAATCGCGATCGTCCCCTCATTTGTCATTATTCGTATCTAATGCGTTATAGTTGTTTCACTATGTACAATTAGTATTTATGTTCATGCAGTACGTTCCTAAAGTCTATCGAAAAACAAAGAATGTTGAATAACTTTTACACAATTTCACAGTTTATTGTAAGAAATTTAAATAGCTTTATTTCAAGATCTTGTCTAGTTTTATTTTATGTCCATCATACTCAGTTGAACCATATGTGTAAAAATAGTTGAAAGAAAATATTTTTGAAAAAATAATTGACGTTCCTATAGAAGCATATATTTAAAATTTTTATGATAGTAAGAAAATGTTGCTCAAGAATTAATGTATTTTATCGTTGAACTTCAGAAAAAATCTCATTCTATTGAGCTCTACCAGGATTAAAGATACTACTGAGTAAACTGTTAAGAGATTTCATACTGGCATAGTTTCACGAACAATATGCGTTTCTGTAATTTTTTTCTCGTGCCAATTCGATAAGACATGAGAACTCGTTGGTGCCATCTTGATTTATCAATGCTTAGCCAATTTCGATTAGTAATTTTCCTTTCTTTTCTCTTATCATTGTGACCTTGAACAATTGAATGTTCCTCGAAGTTGCTATTTCATTTTAAAGTATATTGAATAAAATTTGAATGATTAGGAAATCAAATTGATAACGAGTTATTTAAGCTTTTTTTTAATTTTCCGATAGACTTAAAGAATATTCTGTAAATTATTAACTATAAATCTGACCTATCAGATCGATGCATATAAGAAGTTTGCTTTTGAATAACTTCAAGTTTTCTTTTTTTCACTCATTTTCTTTTTTTCGTCTTAATTTTTACGTTCTCAAAATTGCAAATAGAAAAACTAAAAGTACTATTTATTGCTTGTAAATATATTCGTGTTGAAGTTAACTTTTAAAAGCTGATTTATTTTAAACAGTCAACTAGTCGAATTTAAATCCTTAGATACAAAAACCAAAAATAAATAATTCCATGTTTTCGAAATTACAAACATTTGCGTGCTACTCCATCTGAAGAGAGAATTTTTAGGTTTCATATCGACTCACGCGACTAATCCAGAAAGTCCTACAAGATATTAATTACTTTTATTCGAGACTACGTGAATTTTCTAGAATCAACTAAACTATAAATACCTGACAACAGGTGAGACACTTAGATTATTACTGTCTAGATACTACACTTTTATGGTATATTTTTTTTAAACAAAATCCCATGATTCTCCTTCAAAAGATTAGAAAAATTTATTGTTGACTCCGAAATTTTCATAGAAATAATCAACAAGAAGGATACCTTTTTATGAATATAAAAGCTTCTTTCCATCATTTCTATCTTAGGATACAACTGTGGTAAAAAGATTTTTGTTATACAACTCGTATAAGAGGAAAAGAACATTTAATGTCCTGATTTATAAATTGCAGTAAACCAATAGACACCGTACTTAAACAGTGACTTCTCGTCAAAGTTTGCCTCCATATAAAACTACAAGACGGTATTCAAAAATTAGTTTTCTACTGATGTTGTTGACAAGAGTTGTGGGATTAATTTAAAGGCTACCGTAAAAGTGTAGTATGTCGGCGGCAGTAATATAAAGGTTTGAACTATTTTCAGGCTTTTTAAAATACAGTTCTGTCTTCATGATGTATTGTACTTGAAAGTAATTAATCCTTTGCAGAGCTTCTCCCTTGTCAGGTGAATAGGCATGACAAATCCAAACTGACAATCAAGCCAATAAGCGCATTCACTGTCTGCAATCATAGGCAATTTATCAATGACATTCACTAAAGCACATATAAAAGAACTCTAGGAAACTAATCATTATTCCAAGTTGTTCCGTTGTTGATCGTTTTTACTGATTTATTTCCCAATCATTTATAGCACATCTTTATCAGTGAATTCGCTATCAGATGTTATAATAGATAGTAACTGACAGATATTTTTCTATTACTGAAATCATGAAGATTTCAAGAGATTTAATAATATCTGTCGAAAAATGAGTTACATGTAAAAAATAACTGATTTGAAAAGTCTACTTCAACATGTCAGCGAAAAAAATCTGATTTGTATACATGTCAGGCGGAAGTTAAACTTCGACAAGAAATTTTGCTGAAGTTACAACTTTGATGAACAATTTTTCTTGTCGAAGTTGAAACTTCGGCACGACATATATATGTACTATATAGATTGTGTTTGTCCTTTTTTTCTCAGGTATATATGCTGTATATTCTGTGGTATAAATTTTCTTTTTTAATTTGTATGTGTCAATGTCTCTGTTCAGATTTTGTTCGATCTCGTTTATTATCATGTATTTTTACTTCTTTTTTTTATGATAAATCGACGCATTAGCGAAGGATGCTATAATTATTGTGCATCTATGCAGCTGATTGCTTAGTCATTTTTCTTTCAATCATGTGTGTTTATCGTGGTGTCTATGTTTATTCTATTTTCTTGTGGTTTCGTTTGTGAATAATGTTAATTTCATTTCAATAAAAAGTCAAATTTAATATAACCGACTTAGCTGGATAATCGTAGAGGTGAGAAGTATTTAGTTCAAACAATTAACGTACCGGTTTTCTAAGTGTAAAAACCATACGATGCTGATTTTCAATTTTAGTTTCCAGTTTATCTATAATCATTTTCCTGTATGACTATTTACGGAAGTAGACATCTACTGAAGTTATTTATTATTTTCTATTCGAAAAGCAACTGCCTAATATTGATCTTTCTGGTTGAGTAAAGGCTAGAATAGGAATTTTATGTTAGAAGAAAACAAAATGATGATGTGGGCAAACATCAACGAAAAAAGAAATCGAATTATGTCTCTTTATTATAATTGGGCATATATATATATATATATGTTTTAATTTATCTCATGAGAAAATAATCTTTAGCTTTTGTTTCCTTGGATTTGTAAATAATATTTTCATAAAAATCTTCGCTTAATATTTATTTTCTTGTTTCCATAGAACAATAATATATGCATTCAATCGGCTCGAATATGAAAACATACAAGTATTTATAGAAAATAAACATGAACAATAATGATGGAAAAATCAATAAACTGAACACTGAATAGCAACAAGTCTCAAGAGTATCATGTAAATACGAGACTCAATAAAAAAGAAAAGAAAACAAGACAAAAAAAATTATCTCATGTACATACATCACGGAACATCGCATCGACGCTTTTTTGCTTCTGTTCTTTTCGTTCTCGTCTTTTAAATTAGGTAACAGGAATATTTTTATTATTGTTATTATTATTACTAACATATATATATATCCTTTTGTGGTGTGATATAAGATATGTCAGTCGTCATATAACGATAATGTAAGAGTTAGTAGATACCAACGTCAGACCTATATGCTCCATAGAAATAGCGGAAAATTGGAGCGAGAAAGATACGTCATGTAAATAAGAACAAAATTAGTACTGGCGGGTCGAGTACGTCAGGGGAATTCGGAAGTGTTGTTTGTCTTTCACCCTAGTCCTTTTACTCTTTTCTTTCATGAGTGCACCATAGTTCCTTTAAACTCATTTTGAAAGCGATTATGTATGTGCAAGAAGAAAACATTTCATTGAATGTGCATTAAATCCTTGCCGTTACTGATAATTGTTTGTTGCTCAATCTATTGGATGATAAAATATGTTTAGCTTCATCTAGTGCTTGTAAACAAACAGGATTGGGTTGATCATCATCAATACTTCCACCTATCTATTAATAATAGATATATAAATATATTTATACAGACAATAAAATAAAAATTATCCATCTAAATTACTTTTTTTATTTTGGGTTTCTGTTGGATTGGTGGTGGAGTATTTGCATAGTATTGTTTTCTACTTGATGTTCTTGATGTTAATGATTGATTATGTGCACTATCTCTGTTAAAAACTATAGTTGATAAACGTCCACCGTCATTAAATGTTCCTCTGGGATGTGACAGATAATTTCCATTTACTAAACTATTATTTTGTCGACATCCATATGTATGTAGAACATGAAATAATTGTGTGCGAAATTCAGTTCCTGTTAGACAATAAACAAGTATATTACCAGTATGATTAGCGTTCATTAAAATAATACAAAATAATTTAATCATTTTATATTTTGCTTTAAATTTTGAATCATATACATGATTTTTGGATGCAAATGTTTGCTTTTCAAACATTAAATAAAAAACAATAGGTGCAGTTAATATAACAAACATTGCATTTATGGATAATAACATAGTACTTAAATTTCTTGCAACTAAACGTTTATTTGAATTATGTGCATCACCCATCGTACGTAAAACACTGAGAAAAATAATAGTTGAACAAAGAAACATAAGCGTAAATGGTAAATAAACATTAACTATCGCATCAACGTAAACCCATACGTCACCATAAAATTTGTGATATTCATCACTATATTCCGATGAGCATTGTACAACATTAATATCCATATCGGTATCAACAATACGATATATTAATGATGATGATGATGGAACTATAACTTCTTCACTGTGGTTAGATAAGTCAATATTTATTATTGATTCTTTGCTTAAAGATAATCTATACGTGTTTTCATAGAATAAAAATTGTATATTGAGCAAAAAAAGTATGAGAAAAATACATATTAATATACAATATGTTTGGCATGTGTTACGAGTTTTTCTAACACCGCTTGTTAACGCAAATACACGATCGATTGATACAGCTGTTAATATCCATGCACTTGCTTGAGGGAAAAAATAAATTGAGAATGAAAAAATTTTACACGCTATTATTGATACTTGTTGTAAATCAATATCGAACCAAGCATGAAGTATAAAGTTAACACAAAATGTATATAAAACAGCAAGATCAATAATAGACAAAAAAGCCAAATAGATAAATGTTGAATGACGTCGTAGTTTCGAACGTAATACAACGTATACAGATAGTAGATTACCTGCTGTACCAACAAGCATAAATAGAATAGGATAAATCCGTAATAAAGTTAATGTAATTGTACGGTAAGGTTCTCGCGCGTTAGATGGAATTGCTAAACGATTATTATATCCGGCTAGGGTTGTGTTCCACATGATTATAATTCTACAATGATAAAGAAGAGAAAAAGAGTAAGTTTTTCTATTGTTTCTTTTTATATCCCAAATGATTTGTCACAGACGAATGAGTTTTCAATCACTAAAATGTGGATTATTACATTTCATTTTGAATCATGTAAATAGATTGTATGTTTGTGTGTTTCCATGAAGTTTTCTTTTCATTTTTGTTTCTGTTATTTTTAACAGAAAACAATAAAGCCAGAAGAAAAAGAAGTAAAGAGAGAGAGAGAGAGAGAGAGACTCATAAAGAGTAAGAATAGATGATATATATGCTTTGAAAAAAAGGCAAAAAGAGAAAGATATCTTCTTCCACTCTCTCTCTCTTTTTCTTTTATTACGCTCCTTCTGTTCGGGTTTCCCTTCGGTTGGAAATCTAGAATGACGAGAAGCAAACTGAAGAAGAAAAGAAAAAAAAAGAAAGAAACCTTAAAAATTTTGCAATATTCGAAGATACAAAATACTAAGGTGCTTCACTGATGAGAAATAAATGTCTAATTGCATTTATGTAAAGTGCAGTAGAAAAGAAAACATCCGATGGCAACAGTCTTATCAATTTACAATCGACGATCTTCATCTCTATTATTTGCTACTGCCAGTCAAATATTATTAAACTCACAAAAGACAACCGAGATGTTAACAAAATCTATTCATCCAATGAACTATCTTACAGATAAATATAATAGATAATTTTATTATTATTATTTTTTTTTATTTTTATTATATAACATGCAGAATTCCATTGTGTATTTCTTAATCTAGTCAATGGTTTTAGTGTGAGCAATCGCAGGTATTTCATTTTTTTCTCCTAATCGTTTACTAACAGTGAACATTTGCTTAGTTTCTTATTTTGTTTGCTCAACTTTACTATTTTTTTCGCCTTTCAGATTTCTAATAATTATGAAATATTCATCACAATAATGATCCAAGGCTATTATAGAAATGCTATAGACCTTCAATTCTCCATACAGGCTTTACTATTATCTTGCTAGATTACTACCAAACAACATTATAGAAAATAAATCTATCCAATATATCCATATCGATCTACGTCGATATGGATATACGTATATATATATATATATATATATATATATATCTTTAATCTGTCTGCTGTTCTGTCTATCACTCATTTGATTTCGTCGAGGCTTTTTCCTACGTGATAAATACTCATGAGTTCTTATTAGTCTTTCGTTTGGGTATCGTTCGGAAGAAACAGCAGTACTCTATTTTCATTATTGTTTTGCTTCAACTCATCAAGCAGATTATCAGTAGTTGGTACCTTATAACTGTATGTCTCTATTATCAATGAATACGCACAGGGAAACTTGATCCAAATTAGTGATGGAAAACAAAAAACGTCATATTGCCATAAATCAAAACAAATTAATGCTTTAGGCTGTTGGCAGGTTATCTATTAGAATTACTATTATCGATGAGAAAAAAGTGAAGTGAAATAGAAGGAAATAGGATATATTTGGATTGAAATTGCCATATTTTTTCCAGTACACAACTGCTCTAGCGTATTATACGTGTCTTTGAAAGAACTTATAGTAAAACCAATCATGCAATACATTAGAAACATGTACGTGACTTATTAGTAGAATAGGTGTGCTCAGGGGGGGGGGGGGGGGGGGGGGGGGGGGGGGGGGGGGGGGGGGGGGGGGGGGGGGGGGGGGGGGGGGGGGGGGGGGGGGGGGGNATCTTGTTCACAATCCCCCCCCCCCCCTCTATTTTAGTTGTCCTTAAAAACATGAGTAGAAAGATGAATGACTTACTAGGAATTTATGTCAACTAATCTTTGACATTAAATACTATTAGTTATATAGTTTTTTTTCCTGTTTTGTTTTTAATGAAACCTATTTGAACTTCAAATCAATTATTATTGGCCTATGTAATTTGTATCGTATGAGATGATGGCTTTAATGGACCGTAGAATAACAACTGTTAAGACTATTTAGAAGAAATTTATTTCGTGAGCGTATAAATATCAACGGTAAATAGCGTAGAATATTGCACCAATTAGCTTAGACAAAATATTTATAGAATGCATGACCCTCTTGAAAGAAACTGATTTTGTATGGCCAACGTTTCTATTTCTTTTAATACTAAATGCATGAGTGAAATAATAACTAGTGAACTAAATTCTTAAGATCTTGCCTTTAGAAAAAAAAATGCATTCTCAAATTAATTAATAATAGATATGGTACATGTTTCATAACAATAGCTGTAGTAGCTCTTTTGTCAGATACTGAATACTATGAAGAAAAAATGTCTATGTCTTAAATCTTTTTACTCGCGAGTCGTGCTTTTATACATATGTTGTGATGTGAAAAACAAATGTTGCAAAAATTCTAATATTCTCTTTTCGGCATCTATATATATATATATCTCGAAATGAGTTCAAGTGGTTGGATTATTAAATTGTGTTTGATATTATTACAAAGTAATAATGACAGGAATATTGGATGAGGCGTTTTAATTATCTCTTGTTTTTGTATTCATTAATAAAAATTATTGAGTATAATAATATTCTTTTCTTTTGTGTTCGAGTTGAATAAAAATTACAGTCAAACCACTATATTTAGATATTTTCAAAAGTTCATTGGTATGATTAAGATGTATCATTAATTAACGATTATTTTATTCTATTTTTAGCATCTTAAATAAATAATTGTTTTCGAGGCCGTTTCTTTTGAGGATTTGGGAATGAATGAGTTCGATGACAGTTAATGAAGGTACCCACCAAGTTGATGCGTAAAATATTAAAAGATAGTTTTTCATAGCAAATTCGTCTAATACGAATAAAAATAACTTGAAAATATTTAATTCACACTAATTATTCGTAGATTATAATGTTTTCTACGTTTAACAATTTAAAATAAAAACTTGATTTTATATTCAGTATCATTAAATGAAACATTGCGGTTTTTAGATGATATTTAAAATAGAATAATTTTAATTATTCAAATTTGCGTTTGCCATAACTTAAGATTTATTTAGTTACATGATGACTAAATAATACTCATAACAGATGAAAAATGTTTTCTAAAAATAAATGCATTATAGACTGGTTGCATGTTTAATCTGGATGGGAAATAAAAACAGCAAGCTCTTCAATGCCATCATGTTCGATCAAGATAACATTGATTTCATTGATGTTTACATGTTAAGGAATTCAATGCTAGGATTAAAAAAAATGTCTAACGCTTTTTCATACAGTAATAATAATAATCAAAACAGATGGAAAATACGTGACTGTCTACAATACCATATGACCAATCGTGGACATATTTTACATATACGATGAAATAATATAGAGAATTAATATGTTAATTTAATCTTATTATAACATTGCTATTAGGCTTTGAGCGAATTCGTCAAGGTTTATTTAGCTATGATTTCTTTTTACAGGGAAAGTATTTCATAGGAAAATTTATGTCCCTAAGGTGTAAGAATTGAACAAACTCTGCCACGTAGAAAATTAATCATGTATATATATATATATATATATATAAGCATTCTTTCAGTATATCTTCCAGATATTCTTTGAATTCAGTTCCCTTTTCTTCGTATCCAAGTTACTTGGTGACTTTTATCTGAAACATTGCCTATTTTCGTTAGTAAAAAACAAGAGGTTTAGCTTTGCACTAATTTTGTTGTCTCGGTTTATGTGTATACATAAACTTCATAACGACTGAATTCTTACGAATAAACTATATTCCAGTTTTGGTATCTGATGATGTTTTGCATGCGCGGTATACCAATAATAAATCAATGACAAGTATGTATTTCGATGTTGGTCGTTGTGTTGAACCAAAATTGTTTTCTCGTCTGTCTATAATTCACAGATCATTGTTATATTTAACTATGCGATATAATTTAATGTGTATGTTTCTTATAATATAAAATGGAACAGAATATTGCTTACTAATTTTGTTGAATAAACTAATAATGAATGACGCAAAAATTTAAGGATCATCTACTCTTTCATTATCCAATGATTATAGGCGTCAGAAGAAACTTTTTAAGTGTTGGTGTCTTCCAGAATAGATATTTATTAGGCTTCTCAGTTAGTAATTATAAGCAAATTTTGAAAGTTTCGTAGAATTAAAAAATCTGATTACAGATGCATGAAAAGTCAGAGCAAACATTTCTCGATAAAAATATATTCTTACCATCAGTTGTTTGTGAATTTTCTACTAATAATGAAACATTTTAGAGATCAGCTTGATGATTTCGAAATAATTCTCATATGACTTTAAATTTGAAAGCTGTTTGTCCGTGTTCTTTGAACAATTCGAAAATCATGATAAGTTTCCTTAAGGATATTATTTGCGTTAGGAACAAATACATTTTGTATAAGTGTAAATCCAAAATATTTCAGAACAAACTGGTTTTAAACAAAATACAGTGAGACTAATATCAAGTGAACAACGAGTTTACGACAATGAAAAAACGATTTTAAACAACATAGCAAACAAAGCATACCAATTGGATTAAAATCATATTTATTTTGTATCTACTGATTCGTACAGGTGTTTTGCCGTTGACTTTATTTAAAAGCCTGTCAAGAAGTAAATCATAAATCCGAGCAAGCATTCGCATAGAACAAAAATCGTTCTTTCTAATCAAATGTTCTAAATCTTCGATTTACGTTTTTTTGTCGGTGAAAAAACAAATAAATATTGTATGTCAAAACAAAAAAATTTAAAATCAACAATTTTTCGATATATTTGTAGTTGTTTACTCATGAAAACATTTTAGGTATGCCATGGTGATCGAAATGAAATCTATTGAAATAAAAATAAATTTTAAACCAGCAATTAAGAAAAAACTAATGGGATAAGTGCCTAACTATAAGATAATTATATTTGCCTTATTTTTAGCGTCTTTACGCAACTAATTCCATCGTTAACAGACAACATATGTACTTAGTTATAAACGACACGAAATGAATTGTAAGCAGTTTCCAGGCA